TAAATCACCATTTTCAGTGGGTAAATCACCATTTTCAGTGGGTAAATCACCATTTTCAAGGGTAGATCACCATTTTCAATGGGTAAATCACAATTTTTAGTTGGTAAATCACCATTTTCAGTGGGTAAATCACCATTTTCAATGGGTAAATCACAATTTTTAGTGGGTACATCACCATTTTCAATGGGTAGATCACCATTTTTAGTGGGTAAATCACAATTTTTAGTGGGTAAATCAACATTTTTAGTGGGTAAATCACAATTTTCAATGGGTAGATCACCATTTTCAATGAGTAAATCACAATTTTTAGTGGGTAAATCACTATTTTCAATGGGTAAATCACAATTTTTAGTGGGTAGATCACCATTTTCAATGGGTAGATCACCATTTTTAGTGGGTAAATCACCATTTTCAATGGGTAAATCACAATTTTTAGTGGGTAGATCACCATTTTCAGTGGGTAAATCACCATTTTCAGTGGGTAAATCACCATTTTCAATGGGTAAATCACCATTTTCAATGGGTAAATCACCATTTTCAATGGGTAAATCACAATTTTCAATGGGTAAATCACCATTTTTGATGGGTAAATCGCAATTTTTAGTGGGTAAATTGACTAATTATAGTTGTGTTTCCTAAGTCATGGGGGTACTCCCAAATCCTCCAGTCATTTGACCATTTTACTTAGTGTTTTTCAAGCCATTTTTATGGAACCCCCCATGTGACTGGAGTACTATAGCAATGGGGTGATATCAATAATTAGATATAGGTATGGATCAATACATATTAATACCATTTTTAGGGGGATGAACATCCATTTACCAGCTATTTTGATGTTCACCAGGGGTACAAGGTTTTGACACACTGCCATATGATCATAGCGATGAGTGAACTCATATGGCATGATGTTTCCGTTTTGGATCGGCGTATTAAACATGGTTTTGTGATGGTTTGTGGATGTGATTGGGCCTCGATACTGAATGGGGGATTGGATCTTGAAAAAGGGTTGGATATTTTTTGGGGAGTTTCTGCAGAAGGTATCAGAATGACCAAACTGAGGATGTGATGGGGATATGATACCTGATACCGGTTCCTGGCGGAAGAAAAGCATACATATATATATATATATATAGATACATTATATATGTAATATACGGTGTATATATATATATATATTTATATATTTATATACGGCATGACAAAAACACCAAACTGTCGCTCTGAGTCATGTTAATCGTTTACCTTCACAGTGGACACCACCCACAATTTTCAACGGCCCATGACCCGGCGGCGCGTGTTGCTTCGAGGGCAAATCGAGGTGGTGTTGTCATGTTTCATAGATTCTATTCAAAGACTAGGGATCCTAAAGTAGGGGTACCCTAGATTATTGGTTGCCCCAGAAATTAAGACTGACAATTCTTGGATGAAAAAACATGGGTCTCCCATTTCAACTTAAAACAGTAAACATCTTATAATAGTTAATTATTACCCTCTGGTAAATTGACACAGACCCTGAAAATCTCCATTTTGTTTTGTGGAAACTAATCTTCCAACCCCGACAGCTGCCAGGGTCTATGTTAATTTACTGGAGGGTAATTGGGATATTCCATACTTGACTTAACTACAATATACTACAATGTGGGGCCCCAAAACGATAGCTAAATTGCTTAACTCCAATAAACTATGGTTTATCCCACAGTTATCCCCACAACTATGTTTATCTATATCATCTATATCATAGTTATCGATGTTTATTGTTAGATGGAGATCATTTCAACCCACGAAGATGATCCCAAAAAGCGACCCATCCAGGTCGCTGGACACCATCTTGTCCAAGCGCGCCTTGAGTCACGCCTCCGTGCGGTGTCATGACGCCTTTTAAAGGGCTGGGGTGTATACACGGAAGATGCATGAAGATGCATGTAAAATATACTGAATGTCATAGAAATCATGTGGGAGAATCAAGAATTTTTACTAAACCCATTTGGAAATGGTTTATACCAACTATTTATGGTAATTTGAGGGACGGGTTTGTTATTGTTTTACCCACATTACTGTAATTATTGTGGATTGAAGCAACACTGATCTGAAATTAGCCCAGTGGCAGTACTGGCAGAAATGGAAATGGCAGGACCAAGAAATGGCCAATGAACAAGCAATATCAGGTGTGATACCATGATACCACCCAGAATATCCCAGAAAACCAGAAAGGGGGCGGAGTGAGGGATAGTCCTTGGTGCCTTGGTGTAGCGTCCCATCGCCGATCAGAATGTGTCGTTCAGAGATATCTATAATTTGCTTCCAGGAAGTTGACATAGATATATGGAGAAGGAGAGTTATCTATGGCAGATGAGCTTTGAATTCTACATTTCTGGTGGATTTCACATATACCCTCTGGTAAGATAACAGTTTGCGAACTGGAAAACCACCATCTTCAATAGGTAAATCAACTATTTCTATGGGCCATTCTTTTTGTCGCAGACTGTTAGTCATTACCAGAGGCTATATTCCATCAATCACCATTACTAACCATTACTGACAATCATTAGCCATTCTATATGAACAATTCTTAACCATGAAAATTCACTATTCGCCATGAAAATCACCACCATTATGTTTCGAAAATGACATGGGTATCTGCACGATCAGTGGCTGAATCGGATGCGCTCGGCGGGACGTTGTTGAGCCGACCACAGCAACCGGCTAAGGACATCGACCACAGCAACTCGACAGGTTTCAGCAGGTTTTAGCCAATTTGGTCTGGTTATGTCTTGTTAATCATGATTAATCATGGTATATCTACTGGTTAATAATGGTTAATAATGGTTAATAATGGTTAATAATGGTTAATAATAATCTGGTTGGTGGTGACTGGAACCATGGAATTTTATGACTTTCCATTATATATGGGAATAATCATCCCAACTGACTTGTGGTTTGGAACATATTTTTTTGACTTTCCATTCAGTTGGGAATGTCATCATCCCAACTGAAGAACTGACTAATATTTTTCAGAGGGGTAGGTCAACCAACAACCAGTTATTGTTTGGTCTGGTTGATGTTTCCCAATGTGTGTTGATTTCCTGGGAAATAGATGGAAATAGCAATGTTCTGGCGATTTTTGTTCCCTCAACTTGGACTTTCTTTCCTAGTTGCAGTTGACACGTTTGAATTGTTACTTGACCTCCCAGTATCGGTTGATATGTTCTACAAACAAACAGATCGATATCTTCTCATTGCAGTTTTCAACTGTTTGCTGCAAAGATGTTCGATATCTTCTGGGCTCAAAAACTCCCATGCTGGTGAAATGCCACTCGTGGCTGGCCCCTGACGCGTTTTTTGGGTGAGTCCGACGACTAAAATTTGCGCCGGTGGCGCCTTGTTTCGTTCATCGTTTGTTGAACACGGGTGGTGCCGTGTTCAAAGTGGTGAAACACCATTTGTTTCACGTGTTTTTCTCACTGTTCATTTTTTTCATCATAGTTCCCCATTGAGATTTGATCATAGTTCCATATAGTTCCTTATTGATTCGTAGACAGTTTGAAAACACCACTTTTAGAAAAATTGGTTCCATGTCCCACAGTTCTCCATCATAGTTCCCATACTCTAGTAGTTCCCATGGTTCCCCATTTGGAGGTGTCCTACAAGGGTGGACCCCAAGTCACCATGGGTTTCAATGGTTTGGGGGTACCCCCATGACGAAACGAAGCCTCCTATGATGGAAGGTAGATGAACACCCACATTCCCAATAGTTCCCACAATAGTTCACCATGAATCGCCACCAGTAACCATGAATCACCATTCATCCATTCATCATCATTAGCAATGATAACACCCATACCCTCTGGTTATTTCACATAGCCATGGTATAGATAGCCCTAATCGAAATAGATGGTTTACTGTTCTTAATAGCATGCTGGATCTTTCCATGGCTATGTCTGTAACAGCCATAACCAGATGGTAATGATCCATAGATATACCCATAGAAACCCAATTTTCTATGGTTTCTATGGGGATATCATCATGAAAATTCTCCATAGTCCACCATGGAAAGTCCATGGCGCCACCCTTCGATCCCAGGAAAGTTCGCTGCACCTCCAGGGTCGAACCAAGGAGGGCGACCACGATGTGGCGTGGCCAAAAACGACGGAGACGAGATGTCGCGCGGTGCGGATCCCCCCGGCAATTGATGGGGTAAAGGTAAGAAACCAGGAGAAAACCTGAAGAATTCATCCATGAAATTCTAAGTTGGACAAACTGTTAGAATTCACTCATTCCTGCATAATGATAGTATGCGTTTGAAAATTGGCGAGAAAATAGGTTCGGTAGCGAATCTGGTTATTTTGAGGTTCATATTGAGGCTGAAAGATCCAAAAATCGGGATCATCCGTGTTCCAGGTAGTTTTTTATCCCCCAACAAAAGACGTTGTTTAAAAAGGTTGCATTGTAGGGTATTCTAATGGAAACAGAAGAGATGACGTTTCCTCGACCTGACGGGCATGAGCAAATTCTTCAAATTCTTCTTTACCCAGTCTATGAATCTATTATATAATATAAATGTATATATATATATATGTAAAGTGCGTGCACCAGAATGATTGAATGGAAGCGGAATGCCGCATCCTGGTTGCTCAAGTGTGAAAGGGGGATCGTTCGTCGTCCCATGGAGCAATCGGTGCTGCTCACGATCAGTGGGGTGGCAATTGGCTGGGTTCTCCGGGGCACTTTGGATCCTCATCCAATTTCGTCGACGAGCTGCGGCTGCAATTGCCACTGTATTTGTGAGTGTTGGCAGAGTTCATTGATTTGGTTAGGTGTTCTCCTGGTTACCTCATTGGTCAGTTTGTTAGGGGTTGGATTCTATTTGTTGACTCAAAAGAGTTTCTCTGCAGTCAGTCCTCCAGTGGACTCGCCCGTGAAGGGTCGTAAGGGGGCCTTTGGACAACAAGGGAAGACTCTGACTTTGACCAGTTGAGATGGAGCCGGGACATCTGGCATTGATGAACTACGGCGAAGTACCGCCATGCTGGCATACTAGAATTCTGCTGGCAAGGGTGACGGACAACAGCTGGGTGATATTGACACCAGATTACGACATATATGCTGAGGAACTTAGCATCCACAACCCGGACCTTATCGATTTCGAATACCTGGGGTCAAATGCCAATCCTCCTGCTAGAATTCCGCTGGCACAGGTCTATGGGTTCCAGCCAATGGATCCGGCTGCACTGGCGAATTTCATGAGGCAAGGTAGCATTGAGGCAAACGCCATTCGGGCTTTGAGAGGTATCCCGAATGGCCCTGTGGTTCCAGTACCTCCCGCACCAGCTGCTCCGGTCGCCCCTCCTCCATCAGGTGTCTTGGCTCCTCAACCTCCAGCAGCGGTGGCTGCACCGGCGGCTCCCGCTGGGGCTGCGGCGGCAGTTGCTGGAGGGAAGTGCTGGGTTTGTGTGGAGGATGCGGGTGGTCGAAAAAAGGGGGACATTGTGGTCCATGATCCTGGGGCATTACCGGCGGGCAGTTCGCAGCTGGGTGACAAAGCGTTGGTTCCGGCGTTGGATGGATCAGGGTCGGCATGCTATGTCAAACATGTTCCAGTGTCAGAGGCCCCGAATTACCGCCTTGATGATTTGAGGATTCTTCCAGTCCATTTTGATGCACAAGGGATCCGTCGCAGGGAGTTCTCACAGGCCGTGTCCATGATGGTGGACGGTGTGCCATTGGGTGGTGGCCTGCAATTGGAAGGGCCTACCAGTGGGCTTAATGTTTTGAAATCTTTGAGGGATCAAAGCATGACGCCAACTTCCTTCCATGAATTCTGGTTGAGATCAGCTGACATTCCTAAAGGGGATCGCAGTACCTATGAGCATGAATGCTTGTCCAGAATCCTTGAAAGCCTTGTGACTATTGACCAGTTGAACATCGTGGCCCTACAGGGGGCTGAGTTGATTTGCAGGAGGCTGCAGGTCATTCGGGAGGCTCACAGGGTGTCTCCGACCAGTCCTGATTATACGGCTGCTGATTACTATATGGGTTGGAAATATCGTAGAGGGGCCCATGGTGTTGACAGTGACCTCACTCAATACGTTGCTGGAGAGATGCGAAACGATGCCGCAGTGATGAAAGAGGCCAGGAAGGCGAAGGAGGAAGCCCAGTTGCGCCGCCAGAACCCAAAGAAAGGGGGAGGCGGCGACTCGAAATGAGTCATGTTTTGGCCCCTGCAGTGGCAGCAGATGTGGGGGCTAGAGATGTTTCATGGCCTGCTGCGGAATTCAATGACCAGGGTCAAGGGCTCAACTTTCCTCATCCGGGTGAGAGATGGCGTGAGCTTTTTCCTTTACCCCATGCATGTGAACCATCGCACGTGTCAGGTCTCTCGGTCTCTTCTCGAAGGAGGAGGGCTCGGGTGCGTGACAAGGTGCGGAAGATCAATTCAATTGTTGACAGCCTCAATGAGATGTATGTGCCCGATCAGGTGCATGTTGATTTGGACGTCACTGAGGCGCAGAGGGCTTGTCATCATAGTCTTTTCAAACAATTATCGAGGGCACCAAGATCCCAAGATGTTTGCAGTGAGCGTGAAGCTGTTCAGGAGCTTCTGCGTACCACGGTCAGCTATGAGCAGGCTGACTGCATGAACACGGTTAGACCTTACGACCGAGACCTTGTATCCCTTCCTGAAGTTGGGGCGGCACCAGTTGCTTTGGCTCAGGTTTTGGATGCTACTGGCCGAGAATTTGTCGAAGATCCTGCCACTTTTATGTTGCTGGATGATGAGGAGTGGGGCATGGTGCTTGAGCATGGTGACACAGTCAGACCATACATGGATGAGCGACTTCAAAAAGATACGGTTCTTTATTCACAATTTGTCCAGGATTTGTATGACAAGGGGATGCTGTCTTTCACGCACAGACCTCAGGAAATAGTTCCTCCATTTTTTGTTCACAAAAAGAATGGTCGTCAGAGGCTGATTCTAGATTGTCGTGCTGTCAACAAACGGTTTAAGAAGCCACCTCCACTGGCTTTGGGCGCTGGATCAGCGTGGTCTCAGGTGTCCATCCCCGAGGACAGCACTCTTTATTTGGCGCAGTCTGATATCAAAGATTATTTTTACTCATTGGCGTTACCCACTGAGCTGCAGCCTTTGTTCTGTCTGCCGGCGATTGACTGCCGGCTTGTTCAGGACTGGGGGAAGCCAGAACTTTGTGGTCTGGTTGGTGATGCTGAAGGCTGGGTGTTTCCTATGTTGCAAGTTGTTCCAATGGGCTGGTCATGGGCGATGTGGCTGTCTCAGCGAGTTCATCAACACTTGTGCTTGGAGGCGTCTGGTTTGGATGTGAGTAGAATAGTGGTTGAAGGCAGGGCTGCACCAGATTTGTCCGATGGGGAAGTCATACTGATCCCTTATGCCGATAATCTCAACGTGGCAGGTCTTGATCCTCTTCGAGTTCAAGAGATTAAGAATGTCATCGTTGAGAAACTCAGGCGGACGGGTTTTAGAGTGCATGAAGAACTTGAGGCATGCGAGGTTGGACAGAGTTTGGGTTTCCGAATTGATGGAAGGCATGGAGTGGTGTCTCCGATTCCTGAACGACTTCAACGCGTCAAGCTGGCTCTGAAGTGGCTGTCCAGGCAGCCAAGGGTTAGGGGGCGTGAAGTTGAACGGTTGTTGGGACATTGCATTCATTTCATGTTGCTCCGCAGAGAGTTTCTCAGCATTTTTCGGGGGCTCTACGACTTTATTCAGCAGTCCTATGATCGTCGGCAGGTTCTTTTTGCAGCAGCGGCAAAAGAGGCCAGATGGGCTTCCCACCTTTTAGACCTTTGCACATGTGATTTGAAACGATCGTGGAGCACTGTCGTCACAGCATCGGATGCATCACTGTCAGGCATAGCAGTTTGCAGATCAGTGATGTCTCCGGAGAGCGTGGGGCGAATTGGATCCCAGCGTGAGCCGTGGCGATACAGGTATAAAAACAGGCCAGCTCCTCGGGCGCACGCCCTGGATGCAGAAGCTGTGGACAGGTTGGATCCTTTTTCAGATACACGTACTGTTTTGCCTAGCTCTGTTTATCGTGAAGATCCTTTTGAATTAAATGAGGAGTTTCAAGAGGTGCCCATGGATCTTTTGGATGTGGAAAAGTGGCATGAGGCTTTTGCAGTTCACATGAGACATCCTGAACATATCACTTTGCTTGAGGGTCGTGGGGTTGTGGCGTCTTTCAGACATAAATTCAGATCAGTCAGTGAGTTTGGCAAGAAGCATCTACATTTGAATGACAACATGGCGGTCGTTTTGATGTGCTCAAAGGGTCGTTCCGGAGCCTTTCCCATGTTGAGGGTTTGCCGGCGCATATGTGCATTGCTTGTTGCTACAGATAGTTTCCTTTCTACGCGATGGATACCCAGTGAATATAACATTGCTGACAAGGGGTCACGTCGTTGGGAACATTTGCGCAGAGAGCATGCTGCTGGCAGATCCCAGGGTGAGGAGAGGCTCAAAAAGATCTATGAGAGATGCTACCCTGGCCGGTCCCAAGAATCAGGAGTTGAGGATTTTAGAACAGGTCAGGCCAGTTGGGCGAGTCCGAAATTCCAAGCTGAAACACGTGGCGTTGAAGAGCCCAAAGGAGAAGGCCGAGAGGCGGGCGCTACAAGTTCAGCAGAGGACAGACCCAGTCAGGTTTGTGGGTCAGACCAACCTGGAGAGATTAGCAGTATCACTTCCAGTTGCCCAGGACTATGCCAGAAGGATAGCAGATTTCCGAAATTTTGTCAAGATACAAAAACTCAAGTTGAAACCAATCATGAAGTTCGACGAGGCTTGTTGCTTGTTTCTAAACAGTATGTTCGACCAGGGTCTGGACCTTCACGAAGGCACAAAGCTTTGGGCTGCAGTTATGGACGCGTTCCCAGATTATGGCCACAAGAATGCCCTGCCCAGGTCAAAACGTGCCCTCCAAGGATGGCAAAAGGCGGATCCGCCTCGCACGAGGCCTCCAATTCCTTGGCTGCTGGTGGCGGCCATGGTCATGAAGATGGTGTCCGCTCGACAGCAGAATGCTGCACTGGCAGTCTTGACGATGTTCACGGCTTACTTGCGGCCCAGCGAGTGTCTGAATCTTCAAAAAAGAGACCTGGTGAGACCAATTCCTGGGCACCATCACCATGCTATCCATCTGCATCCCTCAGAAAGACAAGAAGTTTCCAAAGTAGGGCTGTCAGACGAGAGCATACTACTGGACTCAAGCGTGATGCCATGGTTGGGGACAGCACTCGAGCATCTGAACTCCCCGGATCACTTTCTGCTAGATCTTCAGTACAGCCATCTGGTGTTGCATTGGAAGAGGGCATTGACAAGCTTAGGCCTTCCTCCAGATCATTGTGTGTTGTATCAGCTGAGGCATGCGGGTCCATCACACGATCGACTGCATCACCTGAGATCGGCTCTGGAGGTCAAGCAGAGGGGCCGGTGGGCATCAGATTCATCGACCAGACGATACGAGGCACACGGCAGGGTGAATCAAGAGTTTTACATTCTGCCAAAAGCGGTTCAAGAAACATGCATTGCCTTAGAGAAGAAACTTCAAACGGTGGGCCTAAAGTTTTTTACCCACCAACAAAGGTAGAAACAAAGGGCATTGTGATTGAGCTTTTTAGTGGATGTGCTCGGTTGTCTCAAGCTTGCGCGGCGCATGGTTACATATCAATCGCATTTGACATTGAATATGGAGCAGAGTGTGATCTGTTGCGAGAAGCTGTGATTTTCCGCATAAAACGTTTCATTCGCCGTTTTTCTCCATATATCAAGTTGGTCTGGTTTGGTACACCTTGCACATCTTGGAGTCGAGCTCGACGCGATGATGGAGGACCAGCACCTCTACGTGATGACTGTGATAATCTGATGGGTTTTCCACATTTACATTATCGGGATTCTGAGAAGGTTCGTCAGGGTAATGCTTTCCTGATGGTCACTGTCATTTTATGTGATTTTTTATCTGGTTTGGATATCCGCTGGACTATTGAGAATCCCTACACATCACGTATTTGGCTGACTGATCCCATCAACAAATTAGTTCAACATGGAGCGCAATTTGTGCGGGTGGATTTTTGTGCATACAACATGCCATGGAAGAAGTCTACGCATTTATTAGCCTCCCAGTTTCACTCTATCCTTAACCTACGAGCAGTCTGCAATAGCCACCAGGGCATCTGTCAGTATAGTTGCAAACGACATATTATTCTTGCCGGTCGAGATCACACCGGTCTCTGGATGACACGTCGGGCACAACCCTATCCTTTTGGTTTGTGCCATGCAATTGCCAACTGCCTGGTGGAAGAGCACTGAAGTGGGATGGGGGAAAAACCGATTTGATTTCAGCTTTGGCCTAGTGAGAAACATCCTTGGCCTTGCGGATCAATCAAAGCCGTTTTCCAGAACAATTATGCATCAGAGATGCCACTTGCAAAACAGATGCAGTTGAACTCTGGCAGAGCGGGAATGGTTTCATGTAAAGTGCGTGCACCAGAATGATTGAATGGAAGCGGAATGCCGCATCCTGGTTGCTCAAGTGTCCAGCCTCCACCCCACCACCACCTTTCGTAAGTGGGGGAAAAACCGATTTGATTTCAGCTTTGGCCTAGTGAGAGACATCCTTGGCCTTGCGGATCAATCAAAGCCGTTTTCCAGAACAATTATGCATCAGAGATGCCACTTGCAAAACAGATGCAGTTGAACTCTGGCAGAGCGGGAATGGTTTCATATATATATTTATTTAAATGTATAAATAATAATAATAATAAATAATAATAATAACAATATTATATATATTTATTATATTATATATTATATATAATATGATATATATATATATAAATTATATTATATATATTATATGATATATATATATATATTATATTATATATATATATTATATTATATATATGTATATTATATTATATTAATTATATTATATATATATATACACATTTTTTTTGGTATTTATGGAAGTTTCCTAAAATGGTGGTACCCCTACATCATCCATTTTGATAGGATCCTTCATGCATTGAGTCATCCATTTTGGGGTACCCCCATGTATGGAAACCCCCATATTAGATGATATGTGAAGATCTTTGCACAACGCCCTGGCAGCCACAGGGAGTGAATTCACCTTGGATGGACGGCGAACGGTGATTGTTCTGCCGAACGAGGAGGAAGTGTTGGAAACCATCGCAGTGGGGGATCCAAGGGGAAAAACGGGTTGGGGACGAAGCTACCAAGAACGCAGGGGGGATGAGGCATACATATATATATATAAGAATACACATATCCTGCAAGTTTATGGATGTATATATATATATATCCTTCAAGAGTACCACTCCCAATTCAGGAAGTTGAATTGCAGGCACATGACATGGTAGTGAGCAAATTGTGTGATGTGGCTGATGGTGAGAGTCCGGGTTGCTTTGCCATTCAGGTAGCGGAGCTCACTGGCTGTTGTCAATGGATTTCTACATGCAGTTGCGGGTGGTTTTAGATTAGTTTAAAGGCCCCCAAGCAAGTGAAAACGGTAAACGATATCCTAAGTGATTAGCATTAATACTAACATAGATATATCGCTTAGGATATCCTAACTAATTGCATCCTAATATATATATATATACATATATATACATATATACATATATACATATATTAGCAAGATTTAGCAAGTATAGATTAGCCCATTTATATTTGTGTTTCCCCAAGTTCTGCCCACACACACCCCAAGCTGGATAGCTACCAAGAAAGCTACCAGGCATGGAGGCACGCACCGGGGCAACCGGCTCTTAAGGGCTTCAGCTACTCACACGCACTCCCCCCACTCTGCAGCTCAGGCATGCAGAGTGTAGTGTATGCAACCTGGCAGAGGCCGTTGGGCTTGAGCCACCGCACCAACTGTTAGGCGCCTCGCCAAACTTCAAAAACCAAACTTCTCGCTGATGAACTGCATCGGCCCCCCGCTTTCTGAGACGCCTCGCGTCCCCCGCTTTTTGAGGCAAAGACTCGCCCTCCAACTTCTTTGTCGAACAGGCCCTGCACACCGCAGATCTCCCAGCTTCACCACACCTGCAAGAAGCATTCCCAGCGGGCATCAAAGCCGCGCAATGGCCACATTTGGGCTCATAACCTGTGTTTCCCCAAGTTCTGCCCACACACACCCCAAGCTGGATAGCTACCAAGAAAGCTACCAGGCATGGAGGCACGCACCGGGGCAACCGGCTCTTAAGGGCTTCAGCTACTCACACGCATAGATTAGCCCATTTATATTAATTTATTTTGCCAGCTCTTAACATAGTCAAATAGTCATTTTGCTTCATGTCACACATTTTCTTTTGTTCCCTCCGATCAACATGTTCGCTACGCCCAAATATGCGATTCAAACCGATTCAATACAGCTACGGCCCGAAATACCAGTTATAAATGGGACTATGTCATGATATATAACCAGTTATTTCATGATATATCACATTAGTTATAGTTATTATCCCATTAAACTGTTTTATCAAAGTTATATCCATGATACCCTCTGGTAAATTAACATAGACCCTGAAAATCACCAATTTTTATAGGAAACTAATCTTCCAACCTCTATCTACCAGGGTCTATGTGTTTTTTTCCCTCAGTTACAGGAGTTAATTCATCCCATTTACAGCCGTGGACCCGAGCGCTTCCAGCGCTTTCTTCGCGCGCCAGGAAGAAACGGCGACTTTGGCATGCGCCCCGACCGGGAGAAAGAGAGATCAACGGATCTGAAATATGGAACATATGAATATATATATAGGCAAATGATTGTGTATGGTATATATCATATACATGTACATATATAATGTAATATACAAATATAATACAATATAATGTCATGTAGTGTAATGTAATAACATAATATATATATATACATGAATTGTATTTGAATTTTTCCGTTTTATATATTCAACAACCTCTGGGAATTTTGGTAAATCATCGATTTAAATAGGCCATTGTCCGTAGTTGTGTTATGCCATGTTGCATTACTATACGATGTGGTAAGAACCAAAACAGGATTTTCAGCCAATCAACAGAACCATTTTTGCTAAATCAACCGCTGAGATTTTAAAAAAATAATGATGTCCAAGGCACTGAATAACACATTACTCAAGAATAACACATTACTCAAATATTTAAAGGGATATTCAACTCCCAAAATATGAATTTATTCAACGAACCTTTCACCCAAGCAAAATAGGATGTTAGTCGAACCAGGAACTAAATTAGTATTTCTTCAATTCCTAAGATGTGAAATAATGATGTTCAACCACTGAAGTTCGGAGATTTTGCCTATAAAATGTGGGGACATCCCGTGGAATAGCATGGGATTCAACCACAAACTGGCTGGTGATGGGTCAAACATTTGAAGTCTGGCCCCCAGAACTTCTCAGATGGATTGTTGTTGTTTTTTGCTTTGGGATTGTCCATATACCTGTTTGGCCCACTTCTACTACGAGATGGACATCCCTCTCAAACTCAAGAACCAATGGTGCCTTGCACCGTGGAAATCGCCTCACCCGTCACAGGGCGATTTGAACACTAAGGGGGATAGGTCTTGGTCTTGAACTTTGAACCATTGGAAATACCCTCTGGTAAACTAACGTAACTATGGAAAATCACCATTTTTAACGGGAAAACTCACTATAAATGGCAATTTTCAATAGCTATGTTAGTTTACCAGAGGGTAACAGGTTCCCCCCAAAACAAACATCCGAAAACCGACCAAGTTTCACAACGGCTTCATGTTTTACAGTGGATGGCAGCCAGCCGTTTGACAGTGGGGACCACACGGCCTCGGCCCACCAGTCTGACTGCGACAAAGATGTCGGTAAGTTTCCTACCCAGCTGACTTATATAATATTATAATATGATATATAACCCATGACGGATCCATGGTGCTGGTATATATATGCTAACATAAAGGGGCTATATTGATGGGATCCATGTTACCAAATGTTACCATATATAGCAGCACCATGGCTCCATGGTGCTGGTATATTTACCTACATTTGGGCGATTATTAGGGCAAATGTTGGTAAATATTCCATACATGGAGCGTATGGGTATATATAATATAGTGAACTATCGTATCCTGAAAATTGTTTATTGAAGTACCATTCAATACCCCGGTTATTTGGGGAGTTTCTGTTGCTTGGCCCAGGTCCCAGTTTTCTTAGGCCGTTTGTGGGATGAACTGTGCCAACTTGCCACAATCAAATCCTTCGGTTGATATCTTTTCTGTTGTCCTCCATGTTGGATCTTGTTTGAACATTACAGGTTGCATGTTCAAAACAACTTGTTTTCCAGGTAACGGATCTTATGCCAAAGATACATAAACAATACAACTATACTTGGTCATGAATGACTTTTGAATATACATTATTATACAATCAAAAAAATGAATAAAACATGAATAAATACTGCGACCATGGGCCTTTGCTGGGGCGATGAGCGCAGCTCCGCGTGTAGCGCCAGCGCCCACAGCGCAAACGTGTCCTTCTGACTTCCTTGCAAGGACGGATGTTCCAATTTCACTGTGGAATTATTTAAGGCCATCACCTTTCGCTCATGACGTAAATAATTGTGGGCACCACCTACTAAAGTAAAAAAAACACGAAGAAATATAACAAATCACCAGTAAGCCCATACCCCTTGGAAAAAAAGAACAAATGATAAATATAGAGATGCAAGTCATAAATGATGGTTGATGAGGTACCATTTTCATAGAGATGCGGCAATCCAATGACCATCGACCAGCGCAAGGAGTTTCTTCGCGACCCAAAAACGCTGCGGGGCAAAGACTTGGAACTTCGCTTCGAAGATATCCACGAGGCACGAAGGATGGATGACCAGCCACTGTCGAGCCTTGGAGATGTGGTTGGTGGATGGCTTGAAGAAACGCTGGATGAGAAATATATGGAGAATATGTGTATATATATATGAAATATATGATAACTTCAAGGAATGTATGGGAAATGTAGCAAAAACAATATTATATATTGATATATATATATATATACTTAAATACTAATACAATACAAAAAAAAAATATGGGACATATGTGGAGTATTCAAGGACTATATGGGAATATACGGAGAATGCCATCTGGCAATATTGTTGTATAGGGAATTCATCTGTGAAGCCACACAAAAGGACATGGTAAAATGGTGAAAACTCACCCACAAAAAATCCATGGTGATTTAACTGAGGATATAAAGGGAATATAACTTGATAGAACGGGATATTACTGAATATAATGTGTTGATTGTTGGGATCTATGGGTGTGTCAGGTGTAATCGGATATAGTCGGTATCTTGGATATATGACCATCAAGATATTTTGGGTGTGCCTGATACCATGGAAGATGATTTAACCGTCAAGTTTATACCCATGATGGTTGGAATAAATAGTGATTAACCATCAAAATTTAGAGCATTTATTTCTCTGCAAACGTGTTGGGCAAAAGTTGTGTTTTCTTCGAGCTTGTTTTAGTTTGTCCCTTTGGTGAAATACGTACATACATACATACATACATACGTACGTACATTCATACATACATACATACATACATACATACATATATACATATATACATACGTACATACACACATACACACATACACACATACACACATACACGCATACACACATACACACATACACACATACGCACATACACACATACACACATACGCACATACACATATACACATATACACACATACACATATACACATATGCATATACATTTACATATACATTTACATATACATTTACATTTACATTTACATTTACATATACATGTACATTTACACATACATATATTTACATATACATGTACATATACATATACATATACTTATACTTATACTTTTACTTACACATACACATACAAACACATACATACACATACACAAACACATACATACACATACATACACTTACATACACATGCATACACATACATACACATACATACACATACATACAAGCAAACATACATACATACATTCATTCATATACATAGCAAATGAAATGAATGGATGGCCACCCATGTCAATCATAGCCTGGGTCGTCATGCGCTGCCAAATTTTTGCTTCCAGAGAGATGCACTGAGGACATTAAAGCGGCCAGAGAGTTAAGCAGTTATGCCAGTTCATCACGCTGAGCCGCTGGGACTTCCCCACAGAAGGTGACTCCAAAATCAAGTGTTTAAGATTTGTTTAGTAAGGTCTTCTGTTCAGACGCTTAGTACGGGCTTATGAACCAACAACAACTATCTGGTTGGTGGTTTGGAACATTTTTTCCATATGATGGGGAATAATCATCCCAACTGAATTATATTTTTCAAAGGGGTTGAAACCACCAAGTAGAACATGTACTACATCTTGTATTATTGAGGGGTCACCTTTTGAAGACGTGAATCCCCATGAATGTCCACTTCAGCGACGACAGGTGAATGATGCATCCACCGGGGTTAGGCAAGGGGGGTCCCGGTCGTAGATCTTTCCGACCATCCTTACCTTGTATACATCACCATGTGTTGGATGCTGAGTCAAGTAAAGTGCTTTTGTAGTATTGTCAATAGATTGGTTTAAGGGAAAATCTACAGGAAACCATGGATTTTCCCATTAAATATGGAGTTTTCCTGTGAATTTTCCCTTAAACCAATCCATTGATATTGTGTAAACCATGCAGTTTGGAGTTTGCCAATTGCGACCTATACCCATATGAACAGTTAGCACTTTATTTTCAAGTTTTGCATTGATTCAGTGTGCACAGTGTGGCGTTCTTGTCACTATGGTTTGTAAAGTCGGACAATTCTTCCAAATAAACTACCCTCTGGTGAACTAACATAGCTATAGAAAATCACCATGTTTAATGGGAAAATCCACTATAAATAGCCATTTTCAATAGCTATGTTAGTTCACCAGAGGGTAAACCATACTAAACCATGTACAACATGTTCTCTGAGTTGGTAATTCCTGGTTCCAACCTGTGCCTCCAAGCTCAGACTATTTAAATATCATTGAATCTCATTGATTGCAATCATGGCAATTGTTTGCTGTCTCTGATAATCCAACCTAGCAATGGAAAATCTCCACTTTAGAGATGCGTTCTTCTCAATTATCCCATTAGACATTGCAATTGATCAGCAACGTTCGATGGAATGACAGAGGCTAATCAATCCATGCCTCAAAAATTGCCCGAGCCCTGAATGCGGACGACCTGCCGCTGCGCGCTGCTCTTGTCAAAATGATTCAAGTGTCATTGCGAGGTCCACAGAAGAGTTTTTTTGGATGGCAACTGATCAAACATATGGGGAAATTGATTGGATCAATGGGAAATTCAAGATCCTAAAATGGAGGTACTGTATCATATAAGGCCATATTTTGTGGGTATATTCCCTTACATAGGCCTTGTATAGGCCTTATATATGGTAGGTACCTCCAATCAATCGGTTCCTGAGATGGCCAGTGATTGGATGCTGACTTTTTTTCTGAACATACTTTTCTCGTTGAGGCTTTCAAATTATAGATATTCATTGTTTGTTCAACCATGGTCCTGGTTGGGGTGATTGGTTGAGATGACGAGCATGTTTTTGGGAATGGATTTTAACATATTGAAACCACCAGCCCGTTTCATACTTCATTTTTAACATAGATAAATAGGGACGGGGGACGGGGGACAACAATAACAGAGCTATTGGGGGTAATGGTCCCATTGAAGGAAACCCCTATAGGCGGGGTAAAACCTGCAAATTTTCCCTTAAACCAATGCATTAAAGGATGGCAACTAATCAAACCGGAATATGATTGTATATGATTGTCCACGGTATATGAACCACAAGAAACAAAACTATCAACCCAGATGATAACAGTGATATCAGCACCCGGTCCGCTTTGGTGCCCGTTTTCTTGGCTTTGGAGGAGTTGGAATTGCCAAGTGGTGACAGTGCAACAATATGTTCAGCGTTCTTTTGGGTCGGTTGCCAGTAGCAAAAACTCCATAGGGGGGTTCCTAAAATGGGGGTACCCCCAAATCATCCCACTTCAATAGGATGTTTCATTATAAACAATTCCATTTGGGGTATCCCCATTTTAGGAAACCCTCCATGTACATACGCTAGAGATCGCTGCAGCCCTCAAAACCCAAGGGTAGCTCGAAAAGCTGAAAGATCTGCGCGGCCTTGTTGTCATTGCTTCGTCAGGGGTCACGTTCACAGCTGTAGGTGTGTGGGTCGATGGAATTTTGCCAAAAATATGGCCCATCTGATACCAAATCCAATGGTTTTTTAGCATGTTGATCCGAATTTTCCCAAGGGAAGTCACATTTTTTTGGGGGATGTGTTGTTTTTTTTCTCTATGGTGACAAACAGTCCCGTGTTCCGTCGAAAATGTGGGTTTGGCAGGGCTGATCATATTGTATCATACATATGCATATATATATATATATATGTAGTTAGTATATACATATAATATATCCTTTTTCGGTGCGATATGATGACAAACATATCATTCTGTCATTGCCATTTTTTCGAATCTGGTAGCGAAATCCACAGATTTCTCGATTTTTCTCCCCAGGTACGGCTATCGAGGAGAAGGGCGCCTTCTCCTTGTGCGTTCCTGGAAGTTTTGGGCCCAAGGATGGTAAGGCCACCTCCAAGGGCTGATGCTTCCGGGCAACAGCGGCGGGAAATGAGCGCTGGGTAAAAATACGGAGGCTTTAAATGAGGAAATCATCTGGTTGGTGGTTTGGAACATGACTTTTAGAGTTGATAATAGTTGAACAATAATATTGAACAGTTATATATGGTTGGTGGTTTGGAACATGACTTTTATAGTTGATAATAGTTGAACAATAATATTGAACAGTTATATCTGGTTGGTGGTTTGGAACATGACTTTTATAGTTGATAATAGTTGAACAATAATGTTGAACAGTTATATTTGGTTGGTGGTTTGGAACATGAATGGAGTACCCTCTGGTTATGTCAAACATAGCTATTGAAAGTGGCCATAGAAATAGTGGATTTTCCCATAACAAATGGTGATGTTCCATAGCTATGTAAACGCTTACCAGAGGGTATTTTTCCATATATGGGGAATTTCATGATCCCAACTGACGAACTCATATTTTTCAGAGGGGTAGGTATACCACCAACCAGTCTATCAATGGAGGTTTCAATGGGAAAATCTTCTGTAATGGAGGTGCACAATGGGAACACACTTTAGTAACACAGTAACATATGTGAAAACAGTAATTTGCAGCTGGAAAAAAAGCATCGGACAAAATGGGGGAAGTTTCCATCAAGCCACGTTTGATTACCGGAGGCAAGATTTTGTTCTTTTTCTCCACCTGCCAGATGAGGGTCTCTAGGTTTTATCAGAGTTACTTCCCTCCTTCCCTCCTTCCCTCCTTCCTCCCCCATAGCGGGCCTTTTTCAGGGAAGGTTGCAGCTCCTTTCTACGGAGCCTACACGACAAACCTGGAGCCGGTTCCAAACCTGCGGCCGAGCCACTGAGCCACTGAGCAGCACCACCTGCTCCACATCTGGGAGATGGCAACGACGGCGGACCACTGGGTTGGCATTGAGGCACTGTCGGATCTGTCGGAACACCGCGTATGCTGGACGAGGCATTTGCATGAACAAAGCGGTGAGTTTTTGGGCTGAATTTTGACCTTTGCATGGTTTTGTTCGTCCAGTCCCCCAAGTTGTGTTGCTTTGAAGGCAAGCATCTTCAGCAAAAATGATACCCTCTGGGGTCCCTCTGGTTGTTTAACATAGCCATGGAAAGTGGCCCATTTATAGAGGGTTTACCTATTAAAAAGTGATTTTCCATGGCTATGTCAAATAACCAGATGGTAATATATAAATATATATATATAGATAATCTCCCAACATCATAGCTGACACCAACTTCTCACCTCAAAAATATTGAATGTGGAACCTGGAACATATGTGCTAATTTTTGGAATTGACATTGGTAGTCTTTCAACAAAACTGCCCAACATGTTTGCTGCCGTTCCATCCTGATTTGAGATGATGCCCAAGACACCAATCTTATTGAATAGGTGGTCAAGTACCAACTAGCCCAGCGTGCTGCAGGATATTCCATTTCGATCCTTCTTGGCTGTTGTTATTTTGTCCCAGTGTTCAGCTGGAGAACGACTATAGCTCGGAACCCACTGTTTCAAACATTGATTGTGTTTTGAACATATATGTGTTGGTTAAGAATGATACAAAACCCACGGAATTTGCTGTTTCTCATCTTTTTTCCAAGTTATTTGCATAATATGTATCACCATCCTTGGTTGCCACTAACATCGCGAGTTCGCGAGTTCGGGAACTGAAACATGTTTTCTCCCCCAAATCTCATGGTTCACATTTGTATAGAAAGTTACTGCAGATAGATAAACAGATAGAAAGAAAGATCGATAGACAGATATTGTAGATGGATAGATAGACAAGATAGATCGATATAATAGATAGATATGATTAGATAGATAAGATAGATAGAATATAGTTACCATGCTTAAATGGCCGTTTGTCCACCTGTCGGATGCACATTCCAACACCATCCCCCTGCCTGCGCCATTGGCCACGCGGCCACGGTAGGACTTCGAAGGCGCCAAGCTGATCGCCAAGTCCTTGCAGATCTTGAGCCAGGAAGGCGATCGCTGATCGCTGCTTTTTCCCATTGGGATTAGCTAAGCAGCTGGTGATTCATGCCATGATTTCATGATCAATCACCATGATCAAAAAAATGGGATCTGTTTTCAAGAATAGATTAACCGTTGGAATTCCCAGTGGTGATAATGGTGATTCATCATAGAGAATATGGGTTTGTCTCACCATTCATCACCACTATCAATCACTATAACCATCATGATAGTTCAATGACCATCACTATAACCACTATAACCATCACTATAACCATCATTCATAACCACTATCAATGACCATTCTCCCGTGTCACCGTTCCTGCGTCAGACTTGCAGTTCGACAAGTGGCACGTGTTCTTCGCGGGCGACCGTTTGGATAGCCAGGCACCAGAAATCTGAGGTTAGTCCCATAGCTGGCGAATTGAGAGGATGTTTCTCCCAATACAGACTCAGTCCCAATATATCTATAGATTATGTAATATATCTGTAGATTATTGTTTTCTTGGGGTACCTTAGATTTCCATACAATCACATATAGTTTTTAAAAAAAACATAATCTACATGGCCTAGGCACAGTTGGGTCATGTCGCCGATGATGTTCCACTTTCCATTTGAACGGCTGCATGAATCATCATATATTGGTTTGTCAAAGTCCAATGGATCATCATATTTTTTTTAAAAAAAAGATTGCCATTTGGATCCATTTGGTGGTACATCCCATTTTCAGAAACACCGATGTATCCAATGGAGCATCATGAAATTCATTGGTTACATCCCGATTTCCTTAGAAAGTGAAATCATGTGAAATCCACGGATTTGTCCCACCTTTTCCAGACAAAGCCTGACAGCTTGCTGATGGTTAATACCCCCATGAATATCCTCATGATCGCTGGTTGGTACCTTGGTTATTATCGCTGATGATTCCCAACAATATGGTGATTTATCCCATTGTATCAATGGGGATCATGACCGTTAATAGCCAAATCTGAAACTACATGGGGATATTGATCATTATCATATTTTTGGTTAACCAATCTGAATCAATACATTCCATTTTTGTAATAGTTATCATATCAATATCAACTCCAATGGCATCCCAATACCTCCGGAGAAGGGCCAGTCGTCCCTTCCCTCGTTCATATTAAACACCCCCCGTTCGAGTCACCATGGTGGATGTGGGGGATGTACACATATTTGGAAGCAGTTAGACAGTTAGACAGAGCCAGTGGGGTTGTATATTCCACATTGTTCCCATTATTCCACTATATTCCATATATTCCCATGATATTCCATTAACTCACCATGATTGGTGCTTAAATTCCATACAACGTTTTTTTTAATTATAATGTGGTGCCCCCGAGTTACAAGCTGGTTTGTACACCCCATCAACTGAGCTAACATCAATCAAGTAGAAATCCATATACCCTCTGGTAAACTAACATAGCTATTGAAAATGGCCATTTATAGTGGATTTTCCCATTAAACATGGTGATTTTCCATAGCTATGTAAACGTTTACCAGAGGGTAAATCCCCCATCTTTCTTGGTTGCCCATGTTTTTTTATAGCGACCTATCTCCCTGACGTAGGAGTCCTTCCTCTTGGCCAAAGAATGGATCGACAGCAGCAAGATCCCCGGCTCGCAGGTGGGCCATCCATATCCCATGACGGATCCATGGTGCTGCTATATATGGTGTGCCATGGATCCCATCAATATACCCCAGTCATGTTAGCATTAATATACCAGCACCATGGATCCTATGGGTACATACCATGTTTTTCTCGTTCCCCAGGTCCGGGAGACCTCAACAAAAAACCATCTGATGGCCATCGTTAAAAATCAAATAAACGTGAAAACCTTGGGAAACATGGGGATTGAACCATGAACAATGGTGAAAGACGGGGATTTAACAGCCGAGCAAAGAAGGGATGTTTCACCAAGAGCAATGGGAATTTCTGGTTGATCTATGTTGATCTATGATAGCTACGTTGGATGAAGTTGAAATGAGTAGGTTTTTTGGACTTAAGGATTGGATGTCTGTTAGATATATCTAACTAATTCACGGGGTGAACATAAACCAACGAACATAAGTGGCGTCACCGGTAAGCACCTTGTAGCAGTTAAACCCAGAAGCCATGCCGATTGGGGCCCAACTAGCCATTCGCCATCCCTAGCCAGGGTTAACGTGGCAGTTGCGGGGTTCTGTCCTTCTTCTAGGTAAGTGGTTGTTTTTCATAATGCTAAGTAGGGATTACAGATGTTTATTGTCGAAATATTATATAATGATATCAAGATATGATGTCTCTACCGTGGTGCAGAAATGGATCCGTGGCACATCGACGGTAGATGATCCCTGGCTTGATGATTTTGTGACTCATCGGATGCTGTGATGATCCGTGGCTTGGAACCAGAACATGAAGCTCCACCAGATACTACTTTGTTAGTATATACCATGGAGATATATTGATGATAACTATATTTAATATATATATATATCCATTGTTAGTATATACCATTGTTAGTAATTATATACCATTGTAAAATGTTTGTATATTGACTATGTATATACTAAGTCAAACAGCACCTGTTGCGATGGAGGGATGACTTACAATTATCGAGCAACGTGGCAGACAGTGATGGTAGCACACCTCCCTATCGAATGGATGACTTTTGATGAGGCGTGTCAGTATATGGACTGTTATTGAAATTATATTTGAACACCTTCATACAGTACAGTACAGTACAGTACTCATTTTGAACAATATATTCCATGTACAACCTGAATAGTCCATGTATAGCGTATTAAGCCGGAAATTGTTTAACAACCACCCGGAATATGGCTGCCATTAACTTGGCTTTTGGCCGAACACCTTACCGTTGTGACTTTTTGGGTCAGCGCAAGCCGCAGGGAGAAAAATCTGGGCCCATAGGTTTAGATGATATTCCGTCCAGTAATGGCGTTGAAAGCATTCAGTTACACACATCCTCAATGTTTGCAGGTCTCTTGCAAGTATATCCAGTAAATCAATATCATCTGAATGATTAGTTATGATATAAACACCATGTCGTATGCATATATATATATATACACGTGTTCTCTACTTCAAATTACTCTGCGGTTATTTAAGGCTATGGTAGACATGGTCCATAGAAATAGATGGTTGATAATGATTTATCTATGGTTTTAATGGTGTTTTTTTCATGTTGTATATTCTCTGAACTTCCCACAGACTTCCCATATATTCTTTTAATTTCTCGTATATTCTCATATATTCTCCATATATTCCATGAATTTATCATAGATTCTCCATATATTCCCATCCATCCATCCATCCATCCATCCATCGATGTACCATCCATCCATCCATCCATCCATCCATCCATCGATGTACCATCCATCCATCCATCCGTCCGTTGTTCAAGCCATCCGTTTGCCAGGTGCACCCCATCCCTCAGCTTCCGGGGGCTGCGGAGGGAGCGGCCGCGCAGTACACGGCGCGGATGGTCGGTTGTGTGTGGCGAAGTCTAAGATGACCTCAGACATTTGGGCTTCACAATTGATAGATTATGCATAAATATATATATTTATATATGTGTATACATATATATATATATATATCATGTTTATACATGCATAGTAGTACCCGCATTGATCCAAATACTTTCTAACACGGGACAAGTCACCCTCTTACGGTAGGTCCGGATCCGTTGGGATCAATTTTTTTTCCAAACGAAAACAATTCCTTTCTCACTTGTCGGAAATTTTGAAAAACATATTGAACTGTCAACACGGACTGAAACACGGACTTTTGCCATCTTTTGCCAATCATGTCCAGACTAGGTTTGAATTTTGCGGTAAAGGTGGTCCCAGATGGAAGCTCCATTCTTTGCACTCATGGTTGCTCAGCAGAAAGATGTGATATCTTCATGCCTGGGCGAATGGCTACCCGCGCTCATTGTGTCTGAAATTGACAGCAATTCTTGGCCAAGTCATACCATGGCCAGTGTAAGACCTTCTGGTATCGATGTGAAATGACTCCATTTTGCGGAGATCTTTCATTTTGAGGGATTGCTCTATCGGATAGCCATTCTGCTGTTCCTTTGATACCTGGCAAAATTTCACTCTGGGAACTCAAAAAATCGAGTTGTGTGGGTCGAACATGATAAAGACCGGGAACCATGCAGTAAACAGTAAACCATACCCTGTTAACTAGTTGACCCACAACTGAACTGAGGAATGATAGTTAAATGATAAATGATAAACTCGTTCATGATGAAAAAACACCATACCCAGTAAAATGGTCAATGATCAACTCATTGTTTGAATCCATCTGAACTGAGAAATGATTCTACGCATGGGCTGGGCCCATGATGGCCCATGGTCCCACGGGACAAGTGCTGTCGGATTGGATCAGAATGTGGTTGTTATCAATTTCCCTTTGGAAGTGTTGATATCCAAAAATATCCCCAAAAAATGTCCAAAAGTTTCCAAGTGAGGCTACAGAAAAAAAACTGAGGCTCAAGGGATCAAGGGCTCAGGCCGCCCTCTTGATTTGATGCCAGGCTGAGATCTGCATGCAGTAGGGCAGCTCAGTGGTAGAGGGGCTACGAGAGGATGTTTGAAAGTAGAGCGGTAGAGCTGTAGTTTCTTGGTGGTAATCATGAATAAATTGAAACATTGAGCGAGTGAGTATATGTTTAATCCAATGAGATGAGTTTTGAATCGATTTTACGCTAGCCGGTGTTTCTTTGATAAATGATGACAAATGACATCATACTTTTCCTCTACCAAACCCCATCGAATGGTCATTCGTGCCGAAGGGATGAGAGCGTCTTGATGGACAGCGAGGAGGCCGTTGGTTGTTTGAAGTTTTTTGGATGCTGGGGAAGCCTCACGATCAAAAGGACAGGTTCAAACTGGCCAGAGAGGCTTTCCTGTCCGTCTAAACCAACCAACTGCGCGTGTGGAAGATCACCGAATTGGGAAAAAACATGAGTTACTCCCGAAATCCAATGGCTGATCATCGTGTTCCCCACATGTTCCCTATAGAAAACGATGTCCATTTCGGTGGCCCGATTTTCAGCTACACCCATCTGATTATCATCGTATATCCATTCTCATCATTGTCATTTATGTTGGATATGATCCTACCATTTTAATGATTTTAATTTAAATGCTTAATGAATGAACCATGACAATGCAAGATCCCTCATTTACAGATTTGTTTTCCATTAAAACCTCCATTTTCCGCTCGGGGGTTGTCCAGCCAAGGCAAGGCAATGATGAAACCGGAGGGTTTAAGGGGAATGTAACGTGATGAACTAAATACTGACTATAAATTAATGTTTCCCTTATAAAAATAAAATGGAGGTTTCTTAAAATGGGGGATCCTCGAGTCACCATAGGTTTCAATACTAAGTTTTGGTCTAATGACTCGGATGATTTGGGGGTAATCAATTCTAATAAATCAATTTTGGACCGAATTCTATTATCATGTACATTTCCATAAATTGAAAGTGCCATTGGAAACATCTATACTTTACAACCACATAAATAACCATTGAAATGTGCCCTGAATAACCATAAATCACCATTGAAAGTTCCCATGCAGGGCCTGCCCGCCCTGGACCTCCTGCTGTTGGACATGGCAGCGGATGGGACCGTGGGACGCCTACGGCCCGACTCGTCGGGGCCCAGGATGCCGGTTTTTGCGGGTGAACTTCGGGGTTTTTTCTCCATTTTTTGGCAGAAAAGGCAGCGAAAATGCTGGATTTTTATGGGCAAAAGCGACAAAAAATGATACGGATACCACCAGAAACGGAATTTTGAGGAAGAAAATCGTGGATTTCACCAGCAAAGTGACCGGTTTACACCGAATTTCATCATGATTTCGGCAACAATAATTTCTGATGATCAGCAGCAATATAACCAGCATTTGGTCGCGAGGGGGGATGTGTCCTTTCTCCGATTCTGGGTGAAACATTTTTGTAATATAGAACCTCTATTAGCCCACCAGAGATTTGGAGGATGACACGCATGCTCTGTGAACAGCTGAATATCGGAAGTGTGCGTGTCATCACCATGGATTCACCACCATGAAATGATGAAATGTTTTTTTGTCCAACAATCTTATAGTTGTATCCACTTGGCCACATGGATATGTCATGATGGTGTAGCAGTTCCAAGGATTGATAGATTAATATCCGATATTGAATGATACTGAATGCATACTGAATGCAGACTGAATGCATACTGAATGGACACTCATTATATTTGGCTCGAAGCGTTGATGTGCAAAAGTAATTTATATAAATATGGTCCGGTTGGTGTATTGGTAACTCAAGTTTGAGCCACACCTAGGAAGCACACATTGTTGTTCAAACACCAAGACGGGTATTTTAGGAAATCGACCATGCTTGGATCCTTCCACCAGCAGCTTTTTGGGCCCGTAGGCTGGTTCCATCGGGTGTGGAAGTTGGAAGTCAGAAATGGCCTGGGTAAACCAACTGGAGCTTCGCGGCTTCGCGGCTAGTCATGCACGCTGCCAGCCTGGGCATCGCCACCATGGGAACCTTTTTTTGTGAAAGGCAACAATGCAAACCACACTCTACATCCCCAGTTGGTGAAGCGAACATCACATGCGTCCAAGACCCTTCCATGATCCGCCGGATGCATGCCGCCATGCGGAGCTTGACCGGTGCGTGATGTGCCGAAAAGGAGGCCCTGGGCGAGTATTCGCCCACAATTCTTCCCTCGGGCACCGAGCTGGGATTCGGCAAACGTTGGGAGTTTGGCCACCAAAGACAGGTGATAAACCTAGAGAAATGTAATAAGATTTTTTAACAACATAGCTTGTCGCTGGTTGATGGCTTCCTACTTAAGGAGCCCTGATCCGCAACGATTGGCGTTGAAAGGGTTGCGACCCCCATCCAACACCCAGTCTCTACAAATTATGTCCTTATATGGAGATTATATTTTAATAGAAGACAAGTAACTGGATTATAATTCAACAATTCAGACTAGATGGTTTTAGTTTATAAACCACCTTCCAGAACCTACAGGTATCAAAAAAACAAAATCCTACTGGAAGATCTAAAATTAGCTAGTATAGCACTATAGAGTCCATTTCCATCTTACTAAAGTAGTAGTATACCAACTATTAATCAATCCTATCTATAGAAACAATATTGAAACAATCAGCACCAAAATATGAAAGTTTCCTAGAATTGAGGTCCCCCCAAATCATCCAAGTCATTGGACCATATCAGTGCTGAACTGAGCTACTTGGTAGTGAGTCGGTCCACCGCTCCAAGCTGGTGACTGGCGTCTTCATCCAACACTCCAAGCAGCATATGCAGCTCCACGGGATCAACCAATCCACCCTGGGTGCATCTGGTTCTGGTGGGTGTTAACGATCAGAACCTCCTAGTTGAAAGCTTTTCCGAGGCGGCCTGGGAACTGCCAAAACGCGGGTGCGTGAAGCCACAAAAAGGCTTACACCATTTTGCTTGCCCGAACTATCATCGAAAAGAACTTGGAGATGGTTCAGCTGATTCCAGGAAATTTTGATCGATTCTTTGGGTGCCTCTTTGTGAAGCTGAAGACAGCTGGGGTTTGAGTGCTCTCCGTGTCTCAAACCTTGTGCAGGGAAGTGTGGCGTAGCGCCAGATTTGGAGTGGCCATTGAAGTGTCCCTCAGATGTCCATCATGGGTTGCACTCCGATTTTCTGTTTGCCAAAAATATGCCCAGTTCTGCTTTTGGCGTCCAAAGAGATAGAATAATTGAATATACTCAAAACATCTCAAAACGATGATAGAAGTGGAGTAACATGAACATACATGAACATGAGACAACATGATGACACCCAGGCCACGGCGGGGTCCAACTCGTTAGGCGTGCGCCGTGAGCCGGCCCCGGTGCCGCTGGCGCCACGGGCCTTGCGACCGCCGCGAAGATGGGCGAGAAATGGGATGCTCGGCGATCCCCAAATGGACCATGACATAATCGGTTGGTGGCTTGGAACACGTTTTATTTTTCCATATTAATGGGATTATTAATGGGATTATTAATGGCTTATTAATTGATATTAATGGATTATTAATGGGATACCCTCTGGTAAACAAACAAAAAGCTATTGAAAATGGCCATAGAAATAGTGGATTTTCCCATAAAAAATGGTGGATCTTTCCATAGCTATGTAAACGTTTACCAGAGGGTATTTTTCCATATGTTGGGAATAATCATCCCAACTGGCGAAGTCATACTTTTCGGAGGTGTAGGTATACCACCAACCAGTATGAATCTGGGTCCATGTTTGAAAAGTTGTAGCCGCTGCAAATGTAACATCGGATTTATGTGTTTTTCCTTCAAGGCTTACCTTGAAGAAAAACGAACTTGAACTAGTACGCTTTGGCTTTATTTGTTTCGTGTCGATCATGTTTTTTGTGTTATTAGTTGCACGTATCCATTCCTATTGGTGAACATCTTCTATAGTATCCCTTTGAAATCCCCTTGAATCTGGTGGCTGGATGTACAGTCGGTTGGATGAAGTGCTGGTCTAAAGTACCTAGACCATCAATAAATGCCTATGCACTGCCATAAATGTACGTATATGTATGTGTCCTTAAGACTTTGCTACTTTGACCCACTTGTTTGGCGGGGGACAAGTTTAGTAATTACCTTCCAGTAAACTAATTCTGGAAAAACCACCGTTGGTAGATGATTTCCAAGGAAAATCGATGGATTCCCATAGCTATGTTCGTTTATGAGAGGGTTGGCATTCAGGAAAACCCAGAATTGTTGAGATCGTGCCAGGATTCTAGCGATTTTGATGCTGAACTGCATTCTGCAGCTGCGATGTTTATTGCCACCACGGTCAACCTTGGCGCAGCTGCTGATATGGCCGGTGCAAGCGATCTACACAGCTGAGTACACTTGGCGGAGGTTTTTTTCTGGGAAACAAGCCTATCAATGGAGGATTCTTCACTGCCATATTCGACTTAGAGGGTGTATATGCAGAGATTTTTGCACATGTTTGGATCCATATTCTTTGGAAATGGCATGTGGATCTTGCATGAATAGGTAAACAGAAACTTTGGAACATGTCTGCCATCCGGCAACGAACAATGGCATTGGGCAATGGAAATCAACAAAACAACGCACCATTTGAAGCTGAATTTCCAAAAAATCTGTAGCAATGGTGTTTTCCCAGCGCTCTTGCGGGCAAGTTACAGTATATCCTAGTTCATATGTGGTAAATTCGGCAATTCGCCAGGTGATTTGTCAAGTTTTTGAACATAATTCCACTGAAACATTGCTGGATTTTTCTATCTCCAGCCTACTTAGAGGTGCAGTGAACCCGTGAACCTACGCAGATATGTGACAGTAAAAAAGGCTGGTGCCCGATTTCCCATCACCCCAGTCCATCCTTCAGTGGGTTTAATTATCCATTACCACCCATTCCGTCAATATTCCATGACCTCTTGAGTTGAGGTGCTGACAAACCATCTGAAAAACCACCATGTGAATGTTCTTCAAGCAAGTTTTTGACCTTTCAACCACCATCGTGTCATAGTCACGAAAATCATGACGTAGCCCCATTTAAAACCACCAGAGTTGATCATGTTTGGATCAAGGTAAAGGCCCAGTTCGGAATGGCTAAGCAAGCATAACTCTAATTTCTTGAATGGGTTATTTTATGCATACATCATCATATTAACCATATATATATATATATACTGTATATAAAAATCATGGTTTACTGGGAGGGCACCACCTTATATTTATAGATTATTATACATATATATATATATAATATTATATCATCATATATACCATGGCAGGGAAGGCACCACTCGGCACCACCTTCTTGGGGGTGCATCCCACTCAATGGGTGATAGCCCCGGTAACAAGCATGGAATATCACCACTATCTGGGATAAATGGATTTTATCATTATAACATAGGTTATCTGGTGATATATGATATGGCTTATGGATTTTAAACCAAAGATCCTGGGACATCCAAGTAGTAAGTGAGTTATATTTCACTGTTGTAGGGATTCTATCCCCACCTATGCGTGAATTTACCATAGGTATACCCATTGATATACCCATTGATAATCCCATGACAGTTTATAACTCTAATTTCACTTGGTTTTATGATACCTTTACAATTTACTTATATATATATATACATCATTATCATATTATCATATCATACCATCATATTGTTTAAACATATTATACTTATATAGATATAATTATCATTATCATATTATCATATCATACCAACATGTATATATATATATATTATAATTATATATATATATATATATCATTATCATATTATCTTTGTGTTCTATTTTTCATATTATACTTATATATATATATATTATCATATTATCATATAGTATCATATCATATCATCATATTTAAACATTGTCATATTATACTTATATATTGTTATTTTCTAAAGTTGCAGCACCATTTCTTCCAGGTACACGGCCGTGCTCTTCGCCCCGCTGATCTGTTGCTTGACGCTGTGGACCTGGCACCAGCTACAGCTGCCGGAGCACCAGGGCCCTGCCGGGCAGCGCATTCATCGGCTCTTGAAGAGTAGCCTGTGGATCAGCGCCTTGGAAGCCTGGGATATCTGCCGGCTTTATATGGCTTTAATGGTTGATGTAAATGGCTAAAATTTGATAATAAATGTTTATAAAGCAAAACATGGTTTATATTAATAATATGGGATAATAAGGATACCTGTGGTTTAAATATATCAGGGTAAATGTCCCATTTTGGGGATTTTGAACATCACTTGATTTCAAGTATCTGTTGGAGATTAAATCCGAATATTTAGGTGATGTTCAATTAGGACATTTACCAACCCCTGTATCTGGTAAAATAGAATGCAGGGGTGGATGGATCCATAGATGAAATACATATATATATATATATAGTATTTCAGAATCAAAGATGGTCATACCTTTGTCACAGCTGCTTGTACAGACTGATAATGATGTGTTAATTTGTACTTCACATGTATTGTGTTTTGTTTTTATTTCATCGTTTTTTTGTTAACTAACGGAACTGACAGATGCCCAGCATTTTGATCCAAGACATAGGTAGTTGGATGGTTATATCCCGCAATGGTTTTTTTTTTACCCATAGCACATGTGAAAACAAGGACAAGACCAGTGGTAAACATTTAAAAGTTAGCGGCTAGTTAGCGACATCACACAGCCTATCATCCGATTATCATCCTTCTGGTAACGGAGCATCCACTAGTTGTAAGTCAACTCCTACTCAGTCTGGTTGGTTCCAGCCCCGGACGCCTGGATGCCTCTGGTAATTTAACGTATTTCCTATGGAAAATCCTTTATAAATGGAGGTTTTAATGGGAGAATCATCTATAAATGGGCCATGTTCCATAGCTATGTGCGTGGTACCCCAAAAGTCAAACATGGTTCTTGGAGTAGAGGCGTTTATTTACTTGCCCTGGGCTGAAATTATAGAGCTGAGTCAGCACTCACCATCAAAGGCCAAAGGATAATGGCTCCAACATTGGGGGTTTTCATTCCCAGTGTAGAACCCCTAAAGGTATTCAATGGTGATTTGTAGTATAACATATTAGCACTGGGAGCTTCTACCCAGCCCAAAACCCGGAAGATGATTTCATGACACTCATGACTTTGAAGCGATTTGGAGGTGCTGAACACTCAAACTGATCAAACAGTCAACCAGTGATGAACTAATGAACTACTAAATAAGGTCATAGAGGAAACCGATGCAAAACTTTGCCTGCCAAGGTTTGGTGGTGGTGGGCATCACTGCTATTCTTGATTCAGATCTTACGGTCCGAATCGTCTTCTGGTTGCAGCTGTCGTAGAAATTTTTGGGGACCAGAGACCCTTGAGATTGGATGGCCATGTCAAGATCATTGGTGCGTCCAGTCTTGTGCATTGGGATCGACTAACTAATTAATATGATTTTGCTGGATGGTGTCCTATACCATCCAGCACCTTGCAATCAGAGATCTCCACTTCGAATCAAAAAACATTTTAATTGTCAACTGCTATAATGGTTAATGACCAATGGTTAATGATGGTTAATTGTGATATCCATATTGTGGTTAATGACCAAAATAATAGTTTCCATATAATAGATTATATTTGCTGCAGGAACTCTCGTTATTGAATTCCAATAGTGCGATTTACTGCATCCATAGGGAAAATCTTCTATGGGGTGTACTGAAAGTGAACAGACAGTACAGATTTTGATCCTGGGTTTGGGGTTTTCAAACGGGTCCAGTTTCCAGTGCAAAACGCCATTTCTGCGTTTCATGGTGAAAATTCTCTCACTTGATCGCTGAGGACAGCAATTTCTCATTGAACATAGAGGATTTCCAGTTCCATGTTTCCATGGTTGGCTCATGAAAATAGAAGGTTTTTTTCTCAGGTTTCCCTTCAACCACGTGTTCCATGTTTTCCGTTCGTTTTTCTCTTCCAGCAACCCCCAAGTTAAGATAGAATGTGGTTTTTTATCGTAGCAAAAATCAACGATATGTTAGATCCTGTTCTATCTGTTTTTTTTCCTCCATCTCTTGAACCAACACCGCCCAGGTAGCACTCGTAGTGTACCTGCCAGCTTCAACAATTTCGCTGGTCTTCTCCGGCAATCGCTTTCAAAGGACTCGACGAATGCTGAGCGCCCGAGCAGCCAGGGCCGGGAGATTGGTTGACTGGTTGGTGGTGACTGGAACATGAATGGATGATGTTTCCATATATTGGGAATTTCATCATCCCAACTGACTTTCATATTTTTCAGAGGGGCTTAAACCACCAACCAGATGATGTTAATTGGGGGTTTCTGAATACACTCTGATCATCGTCAAAATCGACAAATTCCATGGGCTATCGCCACAGATCCTAGCTCTCACTGCACTGAGGCACCTGGCGAGTGTTTTTGCCTTTGATCTGCGAGTACAAACTCATGTCTTGGTGGTTGCGCTTTGCATCTCTAGACACCTGGCACACCTTGTGCCCCCGCAGTTATGTTTGTTGGTTTATAGCTCAATTCACTATAGTTTAACTGCCAGTAATCCTAGTATATAATTGGAATTATATACACCATCTTAGCTAACTAAGAGGCACAGGCTGGAGTTTGTTGGCATTTGTAGACGTGTTTTTTTTTTGCTTTCTGCCGAAGGGGCAAGTCTCAGTGATACAAGACTGGTGTTGCTGCAACTTCCCAAGATGTTTGGAACCTCTTTGATTGAACGTATATGATGTATATAATAAATTATAATAATATGTTGTTCCTTAAGCTTTCAGATATTTACCCTCTGGTAAACTAACATAGCTATTGAAAATTGCCATTTATAGTGAGTTTTCCCATTAATAGCATGGTGATTTTCCATAGTTACGTTAGTTTACCAGAGGGTACAAATGATTATAGACACGAATGTATATCTCTCTGCGCCGCGATTTTTCTTCATCGACCAAAACTCTCAGGATCCCACAGATGGAGCCTACTTCGCTGGCTTGCACGAGAAGTATGCGCCCAAAGTCATGAATTTGCTGGTAAAGCAAGGCCTGTCTGGGTCAACTAAAGGATGTGTTATATGTGTTATGATATCTTTGACAAATACTTTAATCACTATGGCTAACCAAGAAGATATGGGTATTAAAAAATGAAAAAATGTGATAAACCACTTGAATTTTCGAGTGCAACCAGCAACCAAATGATTGTAGCACTGGTCTACCCATGAGTTTTAGGTGATTTCGGGGTACCGCCATTCTGAACCAACCCTATTTTAGGTTTTTTTTTATCGCTTGCCAGGAGGCATTTTCGTGAAGATTGGGCAGATGCTGTCCTTGCCACTTGGTGCACAGTTCAACAGCATTTTACACGCACCAGGATGCTTGGAAATCTACCATAAATCACCATAAATCACCACAAACCGCTATGAGTCACTTTGAAACTACTCTACCATAAATCATGATAAATCTACCATAAATGTACCATGTTGCTAAATTCAGCGTGCCCAGGCTCCCCAAGGGTGTCCTGCCAGAGCCCTATCTCCGGGAGTTCAAGACGCTGCAGACGCGGGTCCCGCCACGACCTGGGTCTGTCACTTGGAATTGGTGACTTTTTATGATGATTGAGTGATTTTATGGTGTTGTTTCATGGTGATTTAGCGATTTATGGTGTTGTTTAATGGTGATTCATAGGGATTTAATGTGACTTAATGGGATTTTGGATGGATTTAATAGTGATGCATGGGGATTTCAATGGGATTTAATAGGGATTGCATAGGGATTCATTGATGATGAGATGATCCATGATGATCCATGCAGCTAGATTATGCTAGATATATCATTGATATATCGGTATCCCAAGATAATAGATAGGAACATATTATATATATATAGGACAGTTGCAAACCTGAAATTACGAAAAATGAGCCGTTTTTGTTCGAAGTCCTTCAATCCTTTATCAACTATTATATATGTGTACAGGATACGCATATTGTAATATAATGTTTGTGGGTCAAGATGATGTCAAACCCTTCCCCAGCGCATGATGTCACGAACTCAAATGATGGATCCAAGATCAATAGCTCCAATACTAAAGCAGCGCTTCAAGGTGTGTACTTGCGTGGGGATGGTTGCGAAATCCTGCACCAGTTGATAGATGGTAAACATCCCATTTTTTAGGATGGCGTTCAACCATCCTTTCGGTGGTTGATCGGATTTCGCTTGCCCATCTACAGCTGTACCACAGTTGTACCACATGGACCGTGGCAAGTGTGGAACGACATGTGGGATGATCAGGCGATCCCCGAACCAACTCCCATGTCTCTCCAATTTGGATTCCTTACTCTCTTGGATCCTCATGGCCTCATGGTCGCCGACGCGTCACATTCTTGTTGTTGCTTGAATCCCGTTGAATCCAGTTGAATCCTCAAAATTTCTGCACAAACAGCTCCAAATCCACTGGGCTCAGGAAGTGCGGCAGTTGATCTCGGAGGCTTTAGGGGCGCCTTTGGAGTCCGTCTTCTCCGATTTCGATGACGTGCCCCGGAACAGGAAGACCGACCGTTGCCGTTGCCGGTTGCCGTTGCCGTTGCCGTGCTGTCCCAGAATGACTTCACTTCAGATTTTCGCCAACAGCTATGGCCTTTTTCATGGTGGAGGATGAACATGATTGAGTCATATTGGGTCATATCATCTCCACGTAATCGAAATCAAATGGAAGTGTTTAACAAGGAATTTGCTAGCAAACCAGATTCAAGAAGATCATCATCCTAAAAGTGGCTGGAATGTTTCCTGCCTTAAGTGTTATTGCATTGTTTAGCGATTGACAGTTAATTCGCCATTACAATTCCTCGTATACAGGGTGGTTTATGAATACGGCTTGGAGCCGAAAATAGGGTACCGAATCCAGTGGTTTATTATGTGTGGGGTTATTAATCCCTTCCCCCTATTACTAAACCCCCCAAATAATAAAAACTAGGGTCCGTCTCCAATTTTGGAAAATTTGAGGTTGGCCAATTTGATTTTTATCTCATCCCCTTTAGAAAACAATTCAAAAATGAAGCTACCATTTGCGGGTTTCACCCCCTAATAATAAAACTATAGTCAACCCCCGGGTGTTTTTTTTGGGTCATTTAGGGTCCGTCTTTTAAGGTCGAAAAAAAAAGACTTTTATATTATATAAGATATATACAAGGTTTTTAATTTAATATTGGGGGAAAGCATCGAAATCCAAGTTTTGGCAATATTTCAATTAGATTTTAAAAGGAAATCTAATTGATTTCGAAATGCGAAAAAATAGCTTTTATATGAGGATTTTAGATGTGGTATTCGGGGGAAACTTCGAAATCCAATTTTTGGCAAGATTTTAAAAGGAAATCTAATCGATTTTGAAATAGGAAAAAATAGGTTTTTCTTGAGGCTTTTTAATTTAGTATTAGGGAAAGCCTCGCACCCTAATAATAAATACCTCCTACTGTAATAATAAAAACTACCTGAGGTGCTTATTATTTGGGGGAGGGTTAGTATTAGGGGAAGGGAGTACACCATCTTCAAACACAGCTGTGCTGCTAGGCTTTGAGAGTGGACGTGTAACATGGTGTAATTCAGAAATGACGAGAAGGAACGGCTAATCCAGGTAGGAGGTGGTTAAGTGCGGCAGACATTCGATGAACACCCTGGAAACTTGTAGCATGGTAGGAGGTGGTTCCAACATGTTCCAAGGCCGTGGTGGGGGGAAACCACGAAAACCACGGCCATTATTGTTCCATGTTTGATCATTTTTGATACCATCCAGTACGATGGGCTGGAGAATACCAGAATAGGGAGGCGTTTTGCTTTGAGGTTGGGCCAAAACAGGCAGGCCGGTTGTGTGTTGCGTTCGGTGTTGGCTGTTGGCTTTTTGAAAACTGCTAATCTGGTTGGTGGTTTGGAACTTGAATTTTATGACTTTCCATCATATTGGGAATGTCATCATCCCAACTGACGAAGTCCATGATTTGTCAGAGGGGTAGGTATACCACCAGTAATGGTGAGGACAAGGTTGGGGCATGGATTGGCAAAACTGATCGAGGTGATTTTCACATGAAACTGTCGATGGACTTGGATATCTTGGATGGAGGAGGATCAGGAGGATGCCATTTCCTTTCGACGCTGTTGTCCCAGATCAAGATGTGGCCGTGGAATGTGGCATTTGGACAGATCGGTGAAAACAAGAAAAATGATGCATCAGTATTTTCACTGATATGGCTAGCGGCTATGTGTGTCAATCCCTGGCACCCTACCCTAAAAATCCCTAAAATAGTTGGTTAATGGATGTAAACATTCCCCCAGTCATATGGTAAATCCATATAGGTTTTGACCCATCCCCATAAAAGTTCCATCCCTACTTGATGGATCATCCCACCTGACTTATCCCACTTCAACCACCAAGTCTCCATGGTGAATATCCATCTATCATGATTAATATCCATTAACAATGATCTTATGTTTGTCCCATGGTGACGAATATCCTTTAATAATGGTGAAATTCCATTAATCATGGTATCCATTGATCATGTCCATTGTGATTATCATCTATTTTCTGATATGTTCCATCCCTATCTGGTTGGTTTCAAACATGAATTTTATTTTCCATCATGTATGGGATAATCCTTCCCATCGACGAACTCCATCATTTTTCAAGATGGTAGGTCGACCAAGTCAACCACCAACCAGTAACTTTCTAACACATATATAACATTATATATAAGCCATTGTATATATAACCAATAAAGGTAGCATCCCTATGTTCCTTGGGTCCTTTCTCTTCGCTTGGCTCAGGTCCCCATCGGCTCCGCCAGCATCGGACAAGTGCACAAGGCCACCTTGCGGCTTCGCGGCCTGGAGGTGGTGATCAAGGTGCGCGCGTACCGCGCTTGCGCTTTGTACAGGTTGACCATCAAAAAACCATGGGAAAACTATGGGAGAGTATGGATTTTACCATGAAAATTATGGGAAAAATGGAAAACGGTGGGAAATATTAGGAGAAACTATGGGAAACTATGGGAAATCAAAAACGCATGGAATTGACCAAGGGAAATGGTGAGACATGATGATTTTACCAGCAAAACTTGGAATTGAACTAAGAAGATTGGGGGATAGATGAGATATGCTGGCTGAGCTGGTTTGTCAGGGTCTGTTGACGGTTGGACATCTAGTGGATAGATCGAACTAGTTCATGAATTTTCAAAACAACAGAACTGGGTGGCACCGTGTGGCACCACCTTGTAGATTCACATGTTTCTGGTATAGTGATGGATATCAAGGTGTATGTCTACCAATATATGTGGGATTAGTGATATATAGCAGAGATGGGGGATATACCAATGGATGTAGCCTTAGCCATCAACCGTTATCTGGAGTGATATGTGGGTGGATCAAATTGCCTACGGCATACCATATTTTTTGGGAATGGACCAGCTGCAGCAGCTATTTCAAGATCATTTATTAAGCACAATTCAGGGTTTATTTTCTTGGCTTGCAGACGTATATGTATTATAAATACTGTAATATTATATGCATATTCACATACATTCTACATTCATTCTACCGTGTACATTGGATTCATTTTTGTTTATAATCCATACCCACATAGGATTGTTGCCAACATGTGTTTTATGAGAATTCTGTGCTGGCCTTATAACCATAGATACGTAAGGCCCATGACAATCCTGGAGGATTCTCCCAGTTGGTACAAGTCAATCACCATGCTTGAGAAATTCCCTCAGTTTTTTCCGGTACCCTCTGGTAAACTAACATAGCTATTGAAAATAGCCATTTATAGTGGATTAACCATTAAAAACGGTGATTTTCCATAATTAGTTATGTAAACGTTTACCAGAGGGTAGCTGGGTCCAGCAGTTTCACTCAGTGGTCTCATCCTCCAGCTGATGTCGAATTCTGGTCCAACAGGTGCAATACCCTGAAGTCTCCCGGAGCATTGCAGCGGATTTTGCCAATGCCGAACGTGTCTTGGTCGGCGAGCTAGTGGGGCGAGTTCAACCAATGGTTTTGTTTAAAAATGGGCTACGGTATTCCCCGAAATAGACATCTTAATAAGGAGAATAGTATTTATATTAATTCATGTCAGTTTTAAACCCCCAGAAACCACGACATTTTGAGGTATGTTGCCTGTTTTCAGACAAAACCATGCCCAAAAAATCGTGGTTGGAGACCCCATTCTGCCCGGTCAGGTCCTCACCTTTGCATGGCCTTGATGCTGAAGCGAGACAAGCGGATAACGCATCCGAGTATTTCAAGTACAAGGTGGATTTTTGCTACAAAATATCTATATGTATATATATATTATATTGTAAATAGGTAATACACAACATGAGTTTACTTCAATATACTTATATACTTAAATCAACTCGGCACACCCTGAAGACAAAGATTCTTAAGAAATTGAGTGAATCTACTCCCCAAGGTTCCTCCATTTTCGAAAGGCGGGGGGCCTGGCCCTGGAATCTGTTTCTAGGTATCGTTTGGCTGTTGGACAAGTCAAAAGTGGACGATGCTCGGGAAGCGCAGCTCTGACGATGTTGGAGGAACTGGGAATATATGGAAAATATTTGGACAAAAAAAAGTTTCCATAAATGATGGATCCCCAGACCCCAGAATGGATGATTTATAATGGAACATCATATGTAAATGGATGATTTAGGGGTCCTCGTATTTTCGGAAACCTGCGTGTGGAAAATGTTTTTGGATGTTTGAACATATCCTCCAGTAATCAAACGCCACAAAGCTCCATTGATAGTGGATGTCCAATTGCAATTTTCGATTACCAGGGGGTACATCAGAGGGTACATCAGTCAAAACAGGGAGGTCACCTCCATTTGTCCGACATTGATGATTTACCTTGTGGATAATAGTGGATCATTGTCATGAATCCCCAACCTTGGATAGCTAGTTTGATCCTTTAGTCTTTTCTTATACCCTCTGGCTATTTAACATAGCCATGGGAAATGGCCCATTTATAGATGGTTCACCTATTAAAAATGGTGATTTTCCATGGCTATGTTAAATAACCAGATGGTAAATGGAAAATAGACATAAACAGCAAAATATTACTTTTTTTTGTGGACTACCAAAGATTGACCATGAAATTATTAATGAACAATTTTCATGGATACTTGGAATATGGATCTCACCTCTATATATAATCAGACCTTCACAAAGTGGCCAGGGAAGTCGACCTGTCTCCAGCACGTTTATCAGCCAAGCTGTGGCCCAAAAAGGATGGGTACTCTCCTGTAAACGAACATAGATGTGGAAAACCCACCAGTTGTAGATCATTTTCCGAAAGGCTTTGAAAATCATGGGTTTTCCACATCGATGTAGTCATTTTGGGGTAGTATATCAAGGGGAAACGATCAATTTTGCGGCCAAAGAAATCCGCTTTTGAATTGATCACAATGACAATCACATGACACACTTCCTGGATTCTCAGAGGGCAATAGGAAAATTTGCTTTTCAATACAGAAGCAAAACTCTAATGATCTTGTTGAACATGTTGAAACCTGCATTCACAGCTGCAACGTGGCTCTTGCATTGCCCGCAGACTGACATGTCAATATTCGAGTCCCTCCATTAAATATATACAGAAATATACTCACAGCATTCTGTCCCGAATCTCAAGAGTTTTTGTGAAATCACCAGTTGGTGTCAAGATGTCTGTTCAAAGCTAGGACGATCCCGACTCACTTCGACCAAGGCGAAAGCATCACTTGGAAGAGCTGGACTTCCAGCAGGAAGCCTCGAACCTGCTGCGTGTTCGCCAGGGCCTTTCTCAGAAGTTCCCGGAGGTTCCTGGGTGAAAAAATGATCCATGGCTACCTGGAAAAATGATGGAAATTGCCATTGATGATTCACAGGAATGCATATATGTTGTACTACGTAAACATACATAGACATACATAAACTACATACTTCGCAAGAGGTTGGTGCAATGATTTCTGAATTCGTGTTTCCTCTAAAAAGGGCTATGCCTGGCTACATTGGGCCCAGATGTTGAACTCACTTCTCCAAGGCATTTGTCGACGGCATTCCGTTGTGCATATAGGTTAGTCCATACGCTCCATAGGGGATGGATGAGGACGCTGTTGGATGGAGTATCATCATGTCATATTTCAACCCATCCATAATTTATATGATTTGATATGTACACATTTGATTTGACGTCTACAAATGTGTACAAATGTCAGGTGGTTTCCCCTCATTTCTAGGCTCATGACGAAAGGTCAAAGTGCCTGAGCCAATTCTGGAGTTCTGCCGACCCACGGTGCTGGTGATGACGTCTCGCGGCAGACCGTTGAATTTCGTGGCGAAGAGTTGGACATCATCAAAGCGTCACATGCTGGAAACATGTTTGAAAAGCGAACTGGAAAATCACCCATTTTTTATAGGTAAATCAACTATATATGGTAATTTTCAATAGCATGTCCCAGTTGGACATCACGTGTTTGAAACGTTTGTATCTTTGTCAGGGTTATTATATACTGATTATACTGCTTGGTGGTTTCAAACATTTGGATTATTTTCCCCAATAGTTGGGATGATGATCCAATCTGACTAATATGGAAACATGTCTGTATCTTTGTCAGGGTTACCCTCTGGTAAACATACAAAAAGCGAACTGGAAAATCACCATGTTTCATGGGAAAATCAACTATGTCTATGGGCCATGTTCAGTAGCTATGTAACAAATTACCAGAGGGTACTACAGTATATATAATTCATGATCTTTCCAAACTGTAGCAACCTCATTCGCCAACCTTACCATGTTTTGATCGGTGATGATTGCCGCATGGTTACCACCAGGCTTTCTTGCGGAGATTTCCCGTGATGGAAAAGTCATGAACCAATGCCACGGTAAGAATTCCATTGAAATTATATAGGTTTGTCAATCTACCTGGTACCATGTGGTAAACGTTGGAAAATCACCACTTTTAATAGGTAAATCAACTATTTCTATGGTCATTTTCAATAGCTATGGTAGTTTACCAGAGGCTACATGGGCTGTCAAGAAGCTGGCTCCAAAGATGTTTTGGTCATCAGGAAGGATTAAACACCCATGAACTTGGGGATTCACGCCCATATTTAGCTGGTGAATTCATACATCAAGAGCCAAAATCTATGGCAAGCCCGGCAACCCCCAACTAGATAGAAAAGTTGCAAGTTGCAAACCTGGAAATTATAGTAGTTCAATTATAATATACCCAGCATCCCGGAAACATGCTTGTCTTGATTGTGCATCCCACTTACTAAGTTAGGCAACAACCATGTTGTTGTTTTACAGTATTATAGTAGCTATTTAAAACCCAGTTATAGAAACCCAGTCAAATATGCCGCAACGTGCAGTAGATATGATATATGGAATATGCAAAGGTATCTGGGAGTTCCTGTACTAGAAATCATTGGTTTTCGGTCCAGGCCATGTGATCACTTGGAAAGCCCTGAGGCGTTTAGAGGGCCATTCCTTGCTAGACGCTATCATGGACATGGCGGAGGCGAATTGGTCTTGGTGATCGGGAAGATCAGGGTGTACGGCTTTGGTACCTGAAAATGATACAATGTGAGGCCCCCAAGATAGCTAAGTTGGTTTATAACTCCAATTTCACTATGGTTTATGGTACTTATGACTATAGTTATTGGGGCGAATCTAAACCAACTAACATCACTGGGGGGCCCCACATGGTGAAAATGATAGGAAAACCCATGCCACGGGAAATCACTTGAAGGTTAATGCCCCAGTTTCAGGCAATCTGGGTGGCTCCCAAAGCTTGGTATTTAAAGATTGGCGATGACGGTTTAGGATTGGTGTTTGGTGTGTGGCTTTCAACCTACCAACATGCTTGTTTACCCAGTTGCAGACAAGGTAGCAAACGACAATTTTATTCCCATAACTAAGGTTATATATCATTATAATCCCAATTTATACCTGGTAAGGGCCATAGCTGTATATATCTAGAATACAAGTAACTGCGTTCATCTCATAGGTTATTTATTGATCCTAACCGGAACCAGCACCTGAGATATACGAGTGGATCGTCAGGCCATAGCGACAATGAAGGGAAAGACCGTGGAGGATTTAATCGCAGAGTTCGCGCGCAGTAATAAGGATAAGGACCTTGCATGGACCACAGGAAACCACGGGAAACCACGGGGAATGGGCCTTGGAAATTCCTGGAGTGATTTGGTTATGATGTATTTTTTAACGATTTTCTAGATCGTCAATCTCTTGAATCAGGCAAGTCTAAGTTGTATTTTTTGAGGTTTGTTTTGATTGTTTGTTTCCACACACACAGAACATGAAACAAGATTCAATCGCCAGGATCGGATCTAGCCACTTCAAGAGTCTGCAATATATTTTAATATTATATAATATTTATATATAATATAACTTAATATATATATATATAATTTAATTTAATATAATTTATATATATATATATATTATAATAAATATATTTATTAATATATAATACATATATATATAACATATAAAATATTATATACATATTATATTGTATATAATATATAATATATATTATATATTTTATTGTATATATAATATATAATATATTCAGTATTGAATATTTAATATTTAATATATAATATATAATATATTATATATACTATATAATATCAAATATATAATATATAATATAATATATATATACACTATATAATATATAATATATGATATAGAATATTTTATATATCATATCATTTATATATATATAATATATATCATATATTTAATATATATCATATATATAATTTGTATAATATGTAAGATATATTTTAATTATATAATGAATAATATATATATAATATATAATCCAAAAATATTCGACCGTTTGATCATCATGAGCATTAGGGGAACATCTCTGGAGGTTTTGTTTCGGCCTGCTGTGTAGTAGGACGAAGCTGGTCTGGTAAAGCAAGATTCTGGCAGGCTGGACACGCCTAAATCAGCCGCTTGGAGCCGAAACAAACTGTGCAAAGATGGGTGACTGAGTTAAGGTGAAAGACTTGTAGCGAACTGTAGGTTTTGGCATTTTTCGGCATGTTTTTTTTTCGTACCCTTCATTGTCATCAAACATGGCAATGGACCCATTCATATGCGATGTTCCCAGCTATAAACGGTTATAAACCTCAATTCAGTTGAGGGGATCATTTTCAGCAATGTTTGATTACAAGCGGGTACATACTTTGATCCATTCACCAACAAGGAAGGGGATGAACAACCCCTGCTCATCTCTGGGTAGGATCCGTCAGTGAGGTGGTTTTCATCCGTTTCCAGGTGGTAGCCAATCAAATGCCAAAAGTAGGAAGATTAGCAGTGTCCATGTATGCATATGAAAAAAATACATAGATCAAATCTAAATATATATATATATATATACAATATACATATTATATATATAATTTAATATATCTATATATATATACATACAATATACATTAATATTTATCATACTCTGGTAAATTGACATAGATGTGGACATCCATGTGTTTTCCCGGGAAAATGATACAATAGTGGCGTTGCAAAACGCCTATCTTAGTTGACTGGAGAATCCAATATGTCCCTATAACGAGCCGCCCCACCCGAGCCCATCTAACCTTAGAGATCTATCCACCAAACCAACTTACCCTCTGCGAATCGTTGATATCTCTGGATACCCACCATGTTTTTTCAATGTAAATAATCTACGTTCACAAAGCATTTCGATACGTCGAATTACCAGAAATCGTTCGGAAGGTATTCTCCAATTCGGGGCACAACATCCAAGGTTTGTCCATCATTCTTATATCCCAAGATAAGTACCCAGGGTTTTAGTTTTTGACCAAGATAGTTACCTTCATATATGGAGGTTTCCAATCCATGGGGGTATGTACCCTAACATTCAATGTGAATCCTAATTCTCAGTTCATTTCAGTCTACAGGTTACTCTCTGGTAAATCCACAGTTCGACCGTGAAAATCACCATTTTGAGATATGTCTATAGTGGCATAGACCATGAAAACAACCCATTTCTAGATGGCTAAACCACCATGTTTATCAATTTTTGGTTGCTAAACCACCATTTTTGGTGGCAAAAACATCATTTTTGGTGGAAAAAACATCATATCATTTTTGCTGGAAAAAACATGAAAAAACTGATCTTCCAAACCCCCAAGTCATGGCAGGGTCTCCATGCCACCAAGGCCTCGCGACGCTGGCGCCTGGGAGCCGTGACGGAGTTCAGGCGCCCCCCCGGGGCCTGGAAAAAGTGGGAGGATTCCACCATTTACCCATGACGGATCCATGGTGCTGGTATATTAATCTGGGTAACTTATAACGACCTCACTACGACCTCACTGGAAATCATAGTTAGTAAGGGAAATCATCCCCAAATGGCCTTAATTCAGGTTAGGGAATTATTATAATTTACTCAGATTAATGCTAACAAGACTGGGGTATATTGATGAAATCCATGTTACCATATATAGCATGGATTAGCATGGATCCTATGGATCCTCTATGGCTTATAGATGATTTTCTCTCATGAAAACCTCCATTCGTAGAGGAGTTGGAGGATTTTGTTCAGCAATTTTTAGACAAACATATGGGGGATTTGAGCAGCAAGTTTCAGGAACTTCGCTGGTACCATCGTACGGGGTAAGCTAAGATGGCAAACAAAAAAAACATCTCCAGGTGTAGATGTGTGTAGATGATTTTCGTACATTTTTGTTAATCTTGTAATTGATTAAGTATTGCTTTTCCACGACCACGCTTCCGAAGTTTTGGGTCAGATGGGTATGGGTTAAAATCTTGTGGACAAGTCACAGACTGCTAATAAAATGCATTGCGACATCTTACAAGTAAGAACAGGCATTCCTTGGGTAAGTATGGATTACGCAGGTTTTTTATGGCGGAGTAAGGTCAGCCGTCAAGTTTCTCACAGATTTTGTTAGGATCGTCCCCATGAAGTGCATGAAGTGCACTAACCTTGGACTGGCAGGCTATGTGTTGGCCTATTATGGGATGCACATCCAAGTATCCATCGAACGCCCTGAGTGCAGCTAGGAGTACATTGTCACCCGCCATCATTCTGTCAACATGGTTTTGCGATATGAACAGCAGCGCATGGGGGAGGAATAACATGGAATAACCACATCATATACCTCATATACCCGCATGGGCATGTTTCTGTTTTAAGAATGACTTAGGAAACCATAGGAAACCATAGGAAAGCCCCATATGAACTATCCAGGAGAATTGACATGGACCACTAGTCCACCTGGATCCACCAGCGTCCTGGATCTGACTGGAGGCCATCTTTGCGCATTCCGGACGCCACGAAACTGAAGCTCTTACAGTGTCTTGGATGGGATATCTGGAGCAGTGCGATGCTGGGTCAAAGAAACGGCTTTTTGTCTGAAAATTTGTTGTGTAGAATTAGCTGAAATTCGAATTTGCCCAAGATGGTCCCTTTTCAGCAGTAGGCACATCCCCGGAAGGCCCGCTTCGCGAGATGAACTGATGAAGCTTCCCCCAAAATCGACTGTTCATTGGGAAAATGATAGTATGGACAATCAATTTTGGATTTACGGGTATTTTGTTTTTTTGCAGGGCGGTGTTCCCGGTTACTCTGGAGGCGTGGCTTGGCCAAAGTCTTTCACAAAATCCCAAGTGGTGATTGTTGGGCTCTTGCCGAGTAAAACTTACTGGTGCTAAACGTAGGGAATGGATGGGTTGCTGGGGGTTGCTGGGATGATTACTAGGGATTATGGATCATTCCCTCATTCCCTGCTAAGCACCAGTAAGAAAATCTAGAAAAAATGTGTGTTGCTCAAGAATTTGAGAACAAGGAAACTACAATCTTCTGTGACTTTTGCATACTTTTGCAAGTCTTGAAATACCCATTGGCTTGACCCAGTAATTCTATGTAATTCTGGATGTGTACTGATTCTTCAACAACCCCGTGACCAATGGCCAAATGAGCTGACCCCTGTTGACGTCTTCTTTGCTGGAAGTTCTCACCACATCTAGCAGAAGATTGGGTGCGTTCCAAAATGACCCGTGAGGGCAAACTGGGCAAACCTCGAGGTGTTTCAGCTTCCAAATCGATCCCAGGTCCTTTTTTTTTCATTTTTCGCGCGCATGTACCCCAAAAAATACCCATGTATACAAGCAAACATACCAACAAAGAGCAATGGTATGGGTATAGGTTTACGTTTCTTGTTGTACGGTTAATCATCCAAGTCTGAGAGTGAAAGCCAGTGAAAGCCATCAATCTGAGATGGAATCACCCAACCAATAGCAGACCATAGGTTGGAAAGGCTAAAGCGACCATCTAGTTGCAAACCTACACCATTCCTTGTGGTGAAATGCCGATTCTAGATTGGCCATTAATATGTACCACATATACATATATACGTATAAATATATATATTATATATATATATATTATATATATATATTTATTTTTATTATATTTATATATATATATATATTTCTCATTGATATTTCCCATACCCAGCACCGAGCACATCGCCGATTTCCGGAGGCTCTGCATGTCCGCGAGCCGCTCGGCGCGGAACTTTGGTGTGGCTCTCTACAACGCCTCCGCAGGCAGCCTGGCACCTTAAACGCTTCTACGAAGCAGCGTGGTGTCATACCTCTGGTTATGTCAAAATAGCTTTTGAAAATTGCAATTTATAGTGAGTTTTCCCATTAAACATGGTGATTTCCCATAGTTATGTTAGTTTACCAGAGGGTACAATGTGAGGCCCCCAAGATAGCTAAGTTGGTGTATAACTCCAATAACTATGGTTTATGGTACGCAAATAACGAACTAGTTACTGGGGCGAATCTAAACCAACTTATATCTTGGGGGCCTCACATTTGTAAAAATGGTGAACAAATATTATCAATGAATTCCATGGGAAATACATGGAAGATCTATGGGAAATTCATGGAATTTCAACGGCATTATCTGCCACCAAGAAATTGGGATTGCACAAGAAATGGTGGTAGAATGGAGTATCACAGATAAACCGGGATATTATGGAATATGATGGGACTTACATTGACATCCCCTTTAAAAAAAGTGTATTGATAATTATGGGGAATATATGCCGTTTTGACACATGTTTCGGACGACCAAAAATGCTGGTATTTACACGGTTTTTGGAATGTCAAGGAAACGCAGAAGGAACGAAACACTGTAAACAGCGGTGTTTTGGCTGGGAAATTTAATGAACCTATGGGAATATATGGAGAATATCTTCATGGAGAATACCTTCGTCATCAAACGTGATTAGCTGGGAGATCCCGAACTAGCCATTGAGGTTTATAGCTGGGAAAATCATGAAACTCAACGGCAGATTTTCCAGCAATATTTGATTACCGGTAACCAGATCAAACAGTGGGAAGAAAGACGGTGAAAAACTGAGGGGGGATAACATCCATGAAACTGTCTTTTCAATGAATTGAGAAAAATAAGAATATATTATATAGATTTGTATTTGTATTATCTTAATTATGTTTTTCTAACATGAGTTAGTGTTTGTTGGCCGCTATCTTTTTTCCTTCAGAGTAGTAAAAGCCTTCTGTATAGATTCATAGATCTTGGCTGAATGGTTGATGGGTCGATTGCCATTTTTGGTGTAGGAATGTGTTATTCATATGCCACCTTAAATGAAGCGTTTCCAACTTTAGCATAGTTGCCATGCGTTCAAAAAATGGATGGTGGACATGATACACCTCCCTAAATTTGAAATCGAATGCCAAAACTAGCCACATCATGGGAAAGCCATTTTCCAGACCCTATTCTTTGATGGATCTCTTGCATCTCAGGTCGATTTGGTGCCAACAAACTCTCATACAGCAGATCTCTTTGCTGCTTCGACACTCAAGAGATGTGTCGTAAGCTGTGGCTCATCCACGGACATCAAGTTCCTTGATGGTCGGCCTTTGGAGTCTGCTGGGCGGAATTTGACCTGAGAGATTTAAGAGAGCATCATTTGGCAGCCCTTGGGAGATATTTTACTAAATTCTGTATAGTTTTTTGGATGGATCCGTTGATACACTTCCATGTAACTCTGACAGTACTGGGCTTACTGTTCGAGCAGCACATCACAGGCCCCGGCGTACATCTAACCCCCAGTGACGAGTCTACGACTAAGCGCATGCAATTTTTTTGGTCAGCCACATGACCCTCTTCCAGACATATCTTGGGGTTGCGTAAGAATCAATGTCTCCCAGCTGGAACCATCGTTCCATCGAAGAATTCAGAAAATTCCGGCTTTCTGGGAGCAACAATATACTTGTCCACCCCAAATCAAAGCAAGTTGCCCAAAGATCCCAAAGTATATACTGTAAATATAGATAATATTATTCCCCATCTGCCAGGTGAGGGTCTCTAGATTTTTACATACGTCCAACTCCTTGCTCACCTTCTTCACCTTCACCTTCTCCATATTGCCAGCTCCGGATGCAGTGGGCTACGCCTGAACCCGAACTCCATATCGCAAGCTTTGGATGCAGTGGAGGCCAGAAAGAATGCCAGATAGAATGTAATATTCAATAGTATGTGCCAGAAAAATGTCAGATAGATTGTCAGAATATATATATATATATATGCCATAGATACTTCCGGATGATCTGTCAGAAACTGTGTGTTTGAATAGTGTGTCAGGGTGGGGATCACTGGATGTAAAGTAACTATATGATAACAATAAGCGTACATGTACATGATTGTGCATGTACATATGTATACAATATAAATCCATATAGAGTATATGGATTTAGTGTATATATATATATAGTGTGTATATATATATATATATGTCGTATATATAAAAGTATGTATGTATATAAATATAATATGTATATATTCAGAGTATATATAATTATTGTATCCTAGGCTAATCCTCTATTGATCCGACGATTTCCAAGATGCGCGGGGTTGAGTCGAGCTCAGGTGCTGGTGGATGGAGTCTTCAGTATCACGGCGTTGCGAAGGTTTTTGAACCAAGCAGATTAACTTAAGAAGTATAGTGATCTTAGAGTCTTGTAGATATATGATATGGATATGGAAACGCAAGTTAGATTAGCATACTATGAACACCTATGAACTAAACAAAGGTGACAATCTCTACTCAGCGGATGGCATATCATAACTAGTGGTTACCGATAGTTCGGTGTTGGAAACCAGGTCATAGCTGGGCAACAGAATGTGATCCGAAATGATTGGTGCGCAAAAAAATGTTTACCCCTCTGGTAAACGGGTGTTTACATAATGAACTGGAAAGATCCACCATGCTATTACTGTAATGGGTAAATCAACTATTTCAATGGCCATGTTCAAGTTCGCAAACTGTATGTTTACCAGAGGCTATCTTTTGTTGAAACGCACGTTTTTCATCATGTTGACGCCGCTGGTTCCGGCTGATTCACAGCCCAGTCAGATGCTTGGCACCTCGACCTTGTTTGGAGGTTACCCGGCCAGGGGGCCAACCCGAAATGTAGGTCATTTCATTGAGAAACCATAGAAACTTGATTTGCAACCTAACCCCTTTCTATATTGTCCGTTTTGTTTCCATCGTGGTTGTGACCGGTTGTGTTCTCATCGCGGTTGGTTTGGTAAGCATTTGTTTTGGTTGAAATTGAAATCCATGATTTTCAAACACAACCTTATCCATTATTCACTGGAGTTAAATCCTTATTTTTGATGCTCACATTGCAATTGTTCACCATGTTTGATTGTTAAAAGAACCATAGCTCCCTTGCTTCTGGACCTGGTATGGGTAAATCCAGATAAACCCAAGAAAAACACAAACCAAACAAGGATGGTGAACTAATTTGCCTTTTTCAGTGAAATCCATCATTTTCAAGATCCAGCCAGGTGTGTTAAACCTTTCAGTTCCCCCATTTTGATGTGTTAAATCCACCAAAAAAAACACATCAACATGGCAGGTGTTCGACCACCGGGTCGCAAGAAACTGGGTAGTTTTTGGATGTCCTGGGATTCCACGAAAGTTCCATGGAGTTCCATGGCAGTGTTGGCTGATGTACTGATCCTCATCCTGGGAACATCCTGGTGGCTGGTGGTCAGCTGGGCTTGATCGACTTCGGCCAGGTTTGTGACCCTTGGTCAGGTGCCAGAAAAGGTGGGAAGTGGGAAGACTTCCGATGTCAATGAAAACTGAAGATGTGAGCCATGTGAGCAATGAAAATCAGAAGTTTAACCTATTTAGTTTAAACAATTACACCGGCATAGACCCCAGATAGAAAAGGTTGGAACTGATGGTTCCCAACGTGGGAACCAAAGGTTACCATGGCAAGGAACTGCCGGTTCCCAGACCTTGAAACTTACGGTTCCCAACCTGGGAACCAATGGGTTACCATTGCAAAGAACTTCCGTTTCCTAAAGGTTGGAACTGATGGTTCCCAACGTGGGAACCAAAGGTTACCATGGCAAGGAACTGCCGGTTCCCACCAGAGGTTACCATTACAAGGAATTGCCGGTTCCCAGAAGTTAGAATTTATGTTTTGGAAGCTAAGCGGCTATCATTGTAAGGAACTGCGGATTCCCAAAGTTTGAAACTCATGGCTGCAAACCTGAAAAAGTAACGTTACCAGTGGAAGGATCTGTTGATTGCAAAAAGTTAGAACTCATGGTTCTTAATGTTGTTTTGTTTTGTTTGCTGAGCCGGTAACAGAACCTTTTGTTTTGCTTAATGGACCGGTAGCGGAATGTTTGTGTTTGGCTGCTGGGCCGGCATAAAAATGTTTTTGCACGAAAAAGGTGCATGTTAAAATGATATGAAAACAGTTTCTTTACAATTTTATGGTTTTGCTTAATGGACCGGTACAGAACGCTTTGTTTTGCTTAATGGACCGGTACCGGAATGTTTGCGTTTGGTTCATGGCAAGGAACTGCCGGTTCCCAAAGGTTGGAACTCAACGGTTGCCAACGTGGGAATCACAGGTTACAATTGCACGGAACTGCCCGTTCCCAGAGGTTGGAACTCCTGGTTCCCAACCTGGGAACCATGGGTTACCATTGCAAGAAACTGCCGGTTACCAGAGGTTGGAACTCATGCTTTCTAACCTGGGAAACATAGGTTACCATTGCAAAGAACTTCGGGTTCCTAAAGGTTGGAACTGACGGTTCCCAACCTGGGAACCAGAGGTTAACCTGGCACGGAACTCTGCCCGTGTCCCGACCTTGGAACTGACGGTTCCCAACCTGGGAACCAGAGGTTACCATTGCAAGGAATTGCCGGTTCCTAGAAGTTAGAATTTTTGTTTTCGAAGCTAAGCAACTATCATTGTAAGGAATTGCCGCTTGCGAAAGCTTGAAACTCATGGTTCCAAACCTGAAAAAGCATACGTTACCAGTGGAAGGATCTGTTGATTCCAAAAAGTTCAAACTTATGGTTCTTAATGTTGTTTTGTTTTGTTTACTGAGCCGGTAACAGAACCTTTTGTTTTGCTTCATTGACCGGTACCAGAATGTTTGCATTTGGTTCATGGCAAGGAACTGCCGGTTCCCAAAGGTTGGAACTCACTGTTGCCAACGTGGGAACCACAGGTTACCATTGCAAGGAACTGCCGGTTGCCAGAGGTTGGAACGCATGGTTCCCAACCTGGGAACCAGAGGTTACCATTGCAAGCAACTGCCGGTTCCCACCTGGGAACCACAGGTTACCATTGCAAAGAACTTCCGTTTCCTAAAGGTTGGAACTGATGGTTCCCAACGTGGGAACCAAAGGTTACCATGGCAAGGAACTGCCGGTTCCCAGACCTTGAAACTTACGGTTCCCAACCTGGGAACCAGAGGTTACCATTGCAAGGAATTGCCGGTTCCCAGGAGCTAGAATTTATGTTTCTGAAGCTAAGCGGCTTTCATTGTAAGGAACTGCTGGGAACCACAGGTTACCATTGCAAAGAACTTCCGTTTCCTAAAGGTTGGAACTGATGGTTCCCAACGTGGGAACCAAAGGTTACCATGGCAAGGAACTGCCGGTTCCCAGACCTTGAAACTTACGGTTCCCAACCTGGGAACCAGAGGTTACCATTGCAAGGAATTGCCGGTTCCCAGGAGCTAGAATTTATGTTTCTGAAGCTAAGCGGCTTTCATTGTAAGGAACTGCTGGTTCCCAAAGCTTGAAACTCATGGTTCCAAGCCTGAAAAAGTAACTTTACCAGTGGAAGGATCTGTTGATTGCAAAAAGATAGAACTCATGGTTCTTAATGTTGTTTTGTTTTGTTTACTGAGCCGATAACAGAACCTTTTGTTTTGCTTCATGGACCGGTACCAGAATGTTTGCGTTTGGTTCATGGCAAGGAACTGCCGGTTTCCAAAGGTTGGAACTCACGGTTGCCAACGTGGGAACCACAGGTTACCATTGCAAGGAACTGCCGGTTCCCAGAGCTTGGAACTCCTGGTTCCCAACCTGGGAACCATGGGTTACCATTGCAAAGAACTTCCGTATTCCTAAAGGTTGGAACTGATGGTTCCCAACGTGGGAACCAAAGGTTACCATGGCAAGGAACTGCCGGTTCCCAGACCTTGAAACTTACGGTTCCCAACCTCGGAACCAGAGGTTACCATTGCAAGGAATTGCCGGTTCCCAGAAGTTAGAATTTTTGTTTTCGAAGCTAAGCAATATCATTGTAAGGAATTGCCGGTTGCGAAAGCTTGAAACTCATGGTTCCAAACCTGAAAAGGCATACGTTACCAGTGGAAGGATCTGTTGATTCCAAAAAGTTAGAACTCATGGTTCTTAATGTTGTTGTGTTTTGTTTGCTGAGCCGGTAACAGAACCTTTTGTTTTGCTTAGTGGACCGGTAGCGGAATCTTTGCGTTTGGCTGTTGGGCCGGCATAAAAATGTTTTTGAACGAAAAAGGTGCATGTTAAAATGATATGAAATCATTTTCTTTACAACTTTATGGTTTTGCTTAATGGACCGGTAAAGAACGCTTTGTTTTGCTTAATGGACCGGTACCAGAATGTTTGCGTTTGGTTCATGGCAAGGAACTGCCGGTTCCCAAAGGTTGGAACTCACTGTTGCCAAAGTGGGAACCACAGGTTACCATTGCAAGGAACTGCCGGTTCCCAGAGGTTGGAACTCCTGGTTCCCAGCCTGGGAACCATGGGTTACCATTGCAAGCAACTGCCGGGTACCAGAGGTTGGAACTCATGCTTCCCAACCTGGGAACCATAGGTTACCATTGCCAAGAACTTCCAGTTCCTAAAGCTTGGAACTGATGGTTCCCAACGTGGAAACCAAAGCACATCACGCTGCACAGCACCCTGCACAGCACCCTGCACAGCACCCTGCACAGCACCCTGCACAGCACCTTGCACAGCACCCTGCACAGCACCTGACAGACCTTTGCAGACTTCGCCACCGCAGTCTGGACAACCTGCACAGCACCCTGCACAGCACCTTTGCCAGACTTCGCCACCGCACTCTGGACAGCACCCTGCAAAGCACCCCGCACAGCATGCACAGCACCCTGCACAGCACCTTTGCCAGACTTCGCCACCGCAGTCTGGACAGCAACCTGCACAGCACCCTGCACAGCACCTTTGCCAGACTTCGCCACCGCAGTCTGGACAGCACCCTGCACAGCACCCTGCACAGCACCTTGCACCTGCCAGACTGCCAGACTTCGCCACCGCAGTCTGGACATGCACCCTGCACCCTGCACCAGCACCCTGCACAGCACCTTTGCCAGACTTCGCCACCGCAGTCTGGACAGCACCCTGCACAGCACCCTGCACAGCACCTTTGCCAGACTTCGCCACCGCAGTCTGGACACACCTGCACAGCACCCTGCACGCACCTTTGCCAGACTTCGCCACCGCACTCTGGACAACACCCTGCAGAGCACCCTGCACAGCACCCTGCACAGCACCTTTGCCAGACTTCGCCACCACAGTCTGGACACACACCCTGCAACAGCACCCTGCACAGCACCTTTGCCAGACTTCGCCACCGCAGTCTGGACAGCACCCTGCACAGCACCCTGCACAGCACCTTTGCCAGACTTCGCCACAGCAGTCTGGACAGCACCCTGCACAGCACCCTGCACAGCACCTTTTGCTAGACTTCGCCACCGCACTCTTGCCAGCCCTGCGCAACACCCTGCACAGCACCTTTGCGAGACTTCGCCACCGCAGTCTGGACAACACCCTGCGCAGCACCCTGCACAGCACCTTTGCCAGACTTGCCCACCGCAGTCTGACAGCACCCTGCACAGCACCCTGCACAGCACCCTGCACAGCACCCTGCACAGCACCTTTGCCAGCTTTTGCCACCGCAGTCTGGACAACACTCTGCACAGCACCCTGCACAGCACCTTTGCCAGACTTCGCCACCGCAGTCTGGACAGCACCCTGCACAGCACCCTGCACAGCACCCTGGGCTCAAAAGTTCGCCACCGGAGACCCCCACCTAAGAGAAGTAAGAACCCCTATAGCTTGCCAGCTATCTGGGGAAAAAGTAATGAATCATGCCCAAATGGCCGCAAGTTTCAGTTATTATGATGTATCCGGATGAATCATCAAATTCTTAGTACATACCATATAGTAAACAAATAGATGTGGAGAACTTATGGTTTCCCTAGAAACATCTACACATGGCAGGGTTTTTCGGTTTTTCCAGATCTTTTCCTTAGGAGATGGACCTGTCCACGCGTCTCCTCATCGCGCATTTGCTCCTGGCATTGGCGGCAGATGACGACGATGATATTGCACATTGGTATCCCAGCAGCACCTGGGGAATTGGCGTTGACGATGCCAGTGCTCAACTGCTTGGTGAATAGGAGATTTTCGGAATTCCACAAGAATTAGTCAATATTTCTAGGCTGTGATCATCCCCAGTGTGGTAGTATGTCTATATTGACTCATCAACCAGAAGTAGATCGCAGCCACTGATCATTTGCATGCGCATTTCGCATCTCGTGATGATCAGATGGCACGTCTGCAAAGTCTGGCACGTGGCAACTTGCGTCACTGGAACAAAGGTAATTTCCTTACTGGTGCTTAGCAGGGAATTTTCGGGAATGATCCATAATCACTAGTAATTTCATCATCTTTGCAACCCCCAGCAACCCATCCATTCCCTGCGTTTAGCACCAGTAAGTTTCATTGGGCTATCCCCAACTAGCCCTTTTTCAGGTTGATCGCAATGACATGCAATGACTATAATTCATCCAGATCTCGAAAATGTTGTGTTCTTCCGAAAAAGTGCGTTTCTAGTTTCCAAAAATGGCTAGGTCAGTACAATTCTCTCTTTTTTTCTTCGGCTCTTGAAACTATCGAAAAAAATGAATCTCTCTGAAACTCACCACAAGCCATGATAAGCCATGCCTGGCCAAGCGGGCCGCCCTTGCGCTTGGAGGTATCAAGAGCTGGGGATGAGCAGCCGCAACGGCAGTGTGGAGTTGTTGGCCCTCAATGCCAAGGCCGGATCATGATGGAAGCGGATGTTGTTCATTTGGATATCACATGATATCACTACATATATATAAATATATTAATGAAGATATCAATAGATATCACTATAGGTATTTTTAGGTGACACATATGAAATATGGTTTGTTTCTTAGTTTGAAGCAGAGTTGTGCATATGGAAAGGAAATATATGATATTATTATGATATATGGTTTATGGTTAGAGATATAGCATATACATATATATATATATTTGTGTATGTGATGTGCGATATATTTTATGTAGGAAAAGATGAGATGTGCAACCATTCCACGAGTTCGATACCCGTCCTTTCGCTTTGCCGATCCGCGCGTTCCTCCGTGAGTCGATCCGGGCAGGTGAAATTTGGACATGCCTCGATCCTGAGCAAGGCGGCCCGTGCGGCGAGTGGTCCAGCGTTCACCCCTATGTGTTGGAGTCTGAAGTGCCCACATTGTCACATGTTTGTTTATGCTGTTTGGTTATAGCGTTATACCTGTGAAGTACAAAATGTTTAAAAACACATTTAGGTTCAGATGATACGCTTCCAAATTAGAGACTTAAATGGAAATAGACAATCTTTGTGCACTGACAAGACACAGAGCGCAGTCAAAAGCCAGCAAGAAATGTGGGACGAATTTCTTACTGGAAATGGCATTTCCAGAGCTCTATGTTTGGCAAACCGCTATTTTCAGTCAGCAGAAACAGGATCTTCAAGCTAGTGCCCCCAATTTTTACGTTGGTTCACATTCACCCCACTAGTTCAATATATCTACCACAGTCTACCATAAATCCAATTGTTAAGTTAGTTCTAAAATGTTCTAAACCAACTGAGCTATCATAAACAACTATAAATCCTCATTGTTCGTGGGTCAATCACAATTGCTGGTTAAATCACCGTTTAACTCACCATTTGTTCTTCTTCAAATCCCCATGTTTGGTTCATCGTTCGATCGCCGACCAGGAAACCTTCGAAAGGTACAAAGTGTTGAATTCCAAGGACTGGGACGACTGGAACTGTCTGATGCTTCGCAACCGAGCAGATGCGGAGTGGACCACTGGATCAACTGGATCAACCGAGCAGTTAACCGAGCAAAATGGGAGAAAAAAAGGTCTTATCATGAATCATCTTATGTTGGTTATGTTGGTTATGTTATGTGGGTGCTTTTAGGAGTTGATGACATGTCCCACAGAATATTTTTTTCGGGATGTTGAATATTAAATGGCATAATATCTCATAATGATGAATCGACAGATGGGATTCGATGAGAGTATTAATGTATTAGTCAATATATAACTTATGATTTCTGGTTGGTGCTGACTGGAACATGAATGGATTATTTGTTCCATTCAGAAAAGGGAATGTCATCATCCCAACTGACGATTCGTTCACAGATCATCCCACTGTCGCGTTTCTGCAACGACAAGTGTACTGTTTTTTTTTTAATGGGATGTGATTGGATTAATATATGAATTATATAACTTTAAGCAGTTTTTGTTGATATTTCACTAGATTTGGGCTTGGCAACCACATTCACCCAATACTTATCAATACTTGCTAGATATTGCTAGGTAAGAGACCCAACCTTTGAATTGTCAGCCATTAAAAACGTCAATGGCAGACGCCAAAATGGCTTGCGTTACCGTTACCGTGCTTCACACGGAGCACCACCACACGCATCCACAAGTTGAGTTAATTTTAAGGGTGACGCATTGCCTTATTGCAATGCAGCCAGACAACGACAGTATCGCAATCATGGCGATGATGACCTATTGAAATTCTACAGTTTCCATGAAGCTAAGCTATTATTGGCACGAGTCAATCTGGACTTTTGAGGTGGCAGGACATACATTGCTCCGCGGTTGCCCCCATCGCAGGACTCCTTATCGCGTTCCGAGAACGGATGCCTTTGCCGCCTGGAACGATTGGTGCAAGTCCTGCGGGGGACGAGTTTTCTGCTGGGAGCACCCAACTATGGCACCACTCTTTGGGCCGCTGGGCAGCAGGCTTTTTGTTCTGGAAAACGACCGCAAATGGTTTCCAAATGTGTCCAATCAACATGGTTACTATGATCATCATATGGAGGTTTCCTAAGTCATAGGGGGACCCCTTCTATAAATCATCCATTTATAGATGGATTTTCCATGAAATTCCAACCATCCAGCTATTGGGGACCCCCATTTTAGGAAACCTTCATATGATCAATATATCAATAGCGAATAATGAATGCATATATATAGAGGTGTCCATAGTCATGGGGGTATATCCCAAAATCATCCAGTCATTAGACCATGACTTCGTATTGAAACCACCACTGTGATTCTTTAGAAACCCCCAAAAGACCTGAAATAAATTAATTATATGGTAAAGCCAACATTAAACAATTCTCTGGACCAATACAAAATCCGATGATTAGTAGTGGAATAGTGTTGGGATACACACACACACACCCTCTGGTAATCAAACGTGAAGCCACTAAAATACCCTGGTTGATCGGTCTTTTTTTGGGAGTTCTACACTGGGATCTTTGGTGATAATGAATTAACCCAGCATAGTAGGGAAACTTTTCAACCAAACAATATCATGAGACTGGATAGGGGTATGTTTTACGGCTGAAATGATTAAGATGATGGTTACTAGGGGGAATACCCAATTGCGAATCATGGCCCTATTTCAATGGTTTGATGCTAGAACAATTCAACCAGAATAAGATCTCTAAGCTCTTGCGGCTGGGGTCAGGCACGGGAACCCGCTTGGATCCAATGCCAACTGCCAGAAATGAGTCTGAAGTAGGAGCAGAAAAGATGTCATAATATGTTTCATGTATGGCTAAAACAAGATGTACCAGCCCACAACATTGGCCATGCTCTCATATTTTACAATCATAAACTAGGGGCCAAAGACCCAGTCAGACTGGGAGCTGTAGCACTGTGGGTTTGTCTGAAATAAGGCATCCAGAAAAACTACTTGATTATCATGTTCTCACAGTTATGGGCCTAACAGGTTTAACGGGATTGTAATAATATATAGTTGATAAGCTTAATTACAGGAGTTATAATCCCATTTATATAACTGTTTAGGGTCATGATTTATAAGCTTAACTATAGGAGTTATAATTCCATTTATAACTGTTTAGGGCCATGACTGCATGGTATAATAACCATGACCTAAAAGGCCCACTGCCCAATACCTACATCCCATGATTGCTGGCTAATTTCCGCCATAGAAAGTGGATTACATATCCCAGTAGATCCCCGTTGTTGTGCTTGGTCTTATACTCTCTTTTTTTTGGTGAGGTGGTTTATATAATCCCAAAATGTCTCCTGTATGATGGACACCCACTATTGATTATTTGCACAACATCTGAGGATGATAAACCCCCAAACAAAGCATGTTCATTGACGGACCTATCATGTTTGTGTCGCCCTTTCTTTATAAGATGATGATGTCCAATATTTGTACAACATGCCATCCACAGCCTCTAAATTTATATGATATGAAACCCATGTTCATGGCAATATGTGCTGAAAATCATCAAACTCCTCATTAATTCATTAATTTTGGGTGGAACAAAGTATATTTCAATTCGAGTTTGTTGGAAAATAGCCCCCCCCCAAAAAAAAACAAACAGTGGTTTGAATTTTCAAGTTCCCTAAAGAAACGATACAAGTTCGTGGTTAATCTCCCATTTTTTAAACACGCCCCACATCCCATATCAAATTTATAGATTTGGTGAATCTGTATGAATCTATCATATATATATATATCCTGCCTGTATAGAAAGATATGGATTATTTCTAATCTGAGTATAATACCCTTATTTTCTTGGGGTGTGTTTCTTAAAAATCTCCAACAGACCAGAGATCTCCCTAGGCTCAGATGGCTGAAGACTTACTGGAGAAGCACGGCCAGCGTTTTTCGGGACCCTTTGAGGGCCGTGTTCGGACTTGATCCAACAGGAGTTTTAAGGCAGTTCTACAGATTAATATAGTTCCACCATGTACCCTCTGGTAAACTAACATAGCTATTGAAAAAAAATACGTGATTTTCTATAGTTGTAAACGTTTACCAGAGGGTTTTTCTGCTTCTTCATATGACCAGCATCGTTCTTAATATAGTTCTACCATGCTGGTCTTTAATGATAGAAACTCTTCATCAGGATTAGTTCTTCACCAGTCATCGAGTCATAGTGATGATTGATTTGACAAAATGAAACAAGTACTGCAAGTACCATCTGGTTATTTAACAGTTCGCCGTGGAAAATCACCATGTTTAATAGGTAAACCATCTATTTCTATGGGCCATGGCTTCCATGGTTATGTTAAATAACCAGATGGTATGTGTTTAGCAAGACTACATGCATGTATTATATAAATCTATGAACATGTGGTATTCAAACATGCGGTGTTTACCCGTGATTCATGGTGTATTTTACCGGATGAACATTCACATACATTCACTATGGCTTTGGTTTCACCCTGTGTATTATATACATTTCTTATGTTATTTCGTGTTTCCTATACAAAGAGAAATCATGTGCAGGTAAGAATGGCAGAGAATATGCATCTTGATTTGTTTATATAGCATGTTTCCTTCCGCAGTTCGACGTAGCTGCTTGGTTTTCTGATGATAGACCTATAATTTCTCGCTCCGTTGGCCAAAATGGAGGGTTTTGTCCTCGTCCGCGATAGGATTCTTCCGGTGGGAATTGACAACAGGGAAACATCATGATTTCAGGCAACGCCTTCCAGAGAAGAGAGGGTACCCAAGATCTCTCCTGTTTCCCTGTGGAATCTCCTGGAGATTTTCAGCATCAGATGCTCTGAAGAGATTTAGTTTATGCCTAGTTTAGGGGCTCGGAGGGCCTTCCAGTGAAATCCAACGAGAGAAGTTGTATCAAGTTCTTTATGTTGTATGGGCAGTTTCAAGATGTTTCAAGTACATTGAAGCTGGTTTCTAGTGGTTCATACCGGCCATTTCGGTGCCTGGATCGATTTCTTTGCGGACAAAAATCCGCAGATTTTCCCTCTGCCGACAGCGCGAAGCGCAGCCCATTTGTTTGGCGTCACCGCGCTCTTGTCCTGGCAGTGTCACAGTGTGGCGAGATTTCGAACGCGCTCATGGTTGGTGGGTGGCGAGGGTTTGAATGAAAGCAATGGAATCCAAATCACAAAATCGCGACGTTTTTGTTTGCCCTTGTTTGATCTGTTGGGTTGATATTGATCTGGGTAAATTATAACGACCTCACTGCGACCTCACTGAAATCATGGTTAATCAGGGGAATCATCCCCAAATGGCCTTAATTCAGGTTAGTGAATTATTGTTATTTACCCAGATTGATTGAACGGATTTTACATTGGTGGTGAAATTCACCAACATTCACCAGCCAGATTAGTTCTGTGACGTGTGCCAGGGCCAATTTAAATCCCACAGACTCTTGTCGGGATGTGCTGAAATGTCTCGCTGGAAAGTACCACATTTTGTTTGATGTTCCCATCAAAACTCAACCGTTCGGTGATTTCCCAGCTACAAAGTGGGACCATGTTTGATTGCCCTCTGGTAAACTAACGTAACTATGAAACATCACCATTTTTAATGGGTAAATCCACTATAAATGGCCATTTTCAATAGCTATGTTAGTTTACCAGAGGGTACCTCTGGGTTTCAAAAACAAAAGTTCTTTCCCCAATGTCAGTGTCGACCTTTGGAAAGGGCCAAAGGTTTGTTCTCGGGTGCTTAGGCTTGAAAAGATAAGGTTTCATAAATCAAATTGTTGCAATGGCTGTTTGCCCGGGTTTGGCCTGAAAGTAGGATACTCCAAATATCACAGTTGATCATCATTTCCTCCCTTTTCAGCGGCTTTTTTTTGGGGAATCCGTGGGTATCCCACAGTTTAAAAACAAGCTGCCACCACCTGACAAAAAATTGGTCGATCTTGGCTGATAGATCCAGAGACTTCCGAAGCGAAGATATGGCTGAATCAATAAATGGTAGATTGTCGTATATCAAGTTAAGTTGGCTATCGCAGTAAATACATTATAATTCATATAAATATATATATATATAAATATATTATGTATATATATATATACATATTATACATATGTATAATAAATAGAATTTATACATATGTGCGCACTCGTATCACTAGTACCACGTCGGTTGACTTTCCCACCATTTCTTGCATTTGTTGGAACCCGTCCAACCCAACCCCCAGCAGCAAGGTCTGAAGTGAAAGAGCTGGGCAGTGGCAAGGCAGAATCACTGGCCCAAAAAACAGATAGAAATAAGGAACCATTCGCAATGCATGTGATCAAGTTTAACTAGTTTAAACTTTCACACATCCTCAAGCCACAAACCATCCTTAACATCACCATAAATGCGTGTTAACCATCATCCCCATTTTTTGGAATGGTAGGTTCATTCAAGATACTGCTTTTGGTGAGTGAACATAAGATGTAACTGGCTAACAGGCTCATTGGGGATTATGAAGTGACCCCCATAGGAATATTTACTCAGCAACCAGTATAATGGGATGGAACAGGGGAAATGTGCATGGCTGGTTTACCATTGGTAAACCAGCCATGCCAATTTCACAACTACCGGGGAAGATGGTCATGATTTGCACCCCATTTATGGTGATAGGGCTGGTTTAAGCTTGCGAGTTTACCACATAACTAGCGATGGGGGATTTTGAGGGATGGCAAAAAAAAAACATGAGTTTCGATGATGATCAAGCATCATCAACTATGTCATTATGTCATAAGTGATGGTCAAGCATCATCAACTATGTCATTATGTCATAAAATGTTTCTTTTGCATTTGTATTTTTTTGTTTTTACTATATACCTTTTACAGTATGATTTCATAATCATTGATTATCAAGAATAAGGTTATAATTTGATCGCCTTTTTGATCATATTATACCCAGTTATTCTCAGCTGTGTGATTACTATTCTAGGTTAACCAACTGGATGGGTACTTTAATTCTTTAGTCACTATTTTTTTACTGTGTTTTTACTAAGAATTCATTTTATGGTTTCCAGAGGTTGGCTAAAATCCCCCTTCACAACTTTAGTCATAACCGATCCTCGGGATCTGGGATGATCGAAGGGGGGTGACCTGGGTGGTGCCAACTATACACTCCAACTGTTTATTTACGGGTTACATGTATTTACAATCATGTACAGTTGGATTTACATGTATTTAATATTGGTTATATATGATTTTTTTAATTTATACACATACACACAACCACACACACACACACTATCTCTATAAGTTTGATATGTATATATATAGATACATATACATAAAGTGTTGCAAACAGAATTAACTTATTTACATAGACTAGGAATATACATCTTCACATGCCCACTTTCCATCGCTTTTAAACTGTCGCACCAGCGACCGAAAAAGCGACTCGCCAGTTGATCCTACCCATCGAAGAAGCCGGCGCAGAGGTGTAATGGGATGACTTGGGGGTGCTTTTCACTTCGTAAATGGCTTATACCCCGAGTAACAATTGATGGAATATCCCCACTTATGGGATGAAATATGGGTTATACGGTTATAATAATATATATATATATGGATTATACACCACTTACTAAGTGGGATGCACATCCAAGTAGGGAAATAATAGAGATAATGATGGTATACCCTCGGATAAACGTTTACATAACAATGGAACACCACCATTTTTTATGGGTAAATCTATAATAGGGATTGTTCAGCCATCTTTGATAACCGCAGTGCAACCAATAATTCACGGGATAGTTAATGCGTTAAAGCCACCCTTGATTACTTTCACGCATTCACATAGATATTGAAAGATATAGAACATCCAGCATGTGGAGCCATTATTTCCTTGGAACCCATGGATATGGATTTTCAACAACGAAAAACATGTTGTTAATGTGCTGAACTTGGAGGATCCGAGTTTTTTTTAACCGGTGGTTTTTTGGTGTCACCCAGCATGATCACTGGGAACATCCAGGAATAATTTACCAATTGTTCTGGAAAACCAAAGGAACTAAGGCATTTCCAGAACTAAAATATGCAACTTTTAGAAGAGTTTAGATCTACTCGTCATGAAATGCCTTGGATGTTAGGTTTAGTTGTTTTAATGTTCTTTCCTTGACTGTAATAATCAGATCACAGTGATAGAACATTCTAAGCGGATGTGGGACAAGTCATTTCGCGGCCAAGGATTCCGAGTATTCTTTGGATCAAACCCCGCAAACCAGACCTCGTTGACGACTCGTTGGTCTATGAAAAATCGTGGAAATTTGGGTGTTCAATAGCCTCTGGCAATTTGACGTCACTAAGGAACATCATCAATGAACATCATGACTTTCTCCAAGGGTATTTTCTGGTAAACCAACAGATATCAACACTTCGACCCTGAAATTCAGCCATAAATATCGTGATTTCCGAGTGGTTTCCCTAATTTTCCAACCCCCAAGGCCCCAACCCCGATGGCAGGGTCGTTGACCTCCATCCCAGATCGCGCCAGGCGGCCGTTGCGGCGCCGGACTTCATGAACGCAGCGCGATGTGCTGCTGGGTGACCCAGGTGACGATGTTGACGAAGGTGGCACAGGGGAATGACATGATCCCAAAAAACAATACGTTCCAAGATGTTTGAATCATTTTCTTGCAAAGACCTCATTCTTGCAGGCAATCTGGTCAATTTGACCATAGGTCACAGGCTGAGTTTGCATTTTCCTTCTGACCTTGGCATTAAGAGCATGCCATTGTTCTGGGCACACTGTGACTTGTTAGTTCAACTGATTGAAAGCACACATACATTGAAAAACAAACAACAGGCTGAAAATCAACATGTTTTCACCAGATGCCTATTGATTTAGAGTAGTTTAAACCCATATTTGTGATATGGATTTCACTACGGTTTTTGCTTTGGCTTGCTCAAACTGATAAACCATCCCCATATTTGGGTGACTATTCCATTCCAGTGATGTCAGTGGTGAAACTTCGCGGTTGTACCCACAAACCGTTTGACGTTCGCACCGGTTGTGTAACATGGATTGCCAGCAACCCATGTGACTTTCAGCTTAAGTCTTCATGATAAAAGATGTTTCACCAGTCAAGTAGTCAAGTTCTGCCATTTCCAGACAAGCCCAGTGCCGCACTGTTGATGGTTCTGAATCTCCCCATGATTGCTGGCAAGAAAAAATCCCCGTTCTGTATCAATGGTGGCAAGAAAACCACAAGGACCAGAAAAAACCGGGCATATGCCATCCATAAAATTCCACCATCAAGATGGTTATGTCATAGATACACTACACTCAATTGCATTCAATTACATTCAATTACACTACACTACATCATACTACACACTAGAGTCCAATACACTACAACTACAACTACAACTACACTACGCTACCTTCCACTACAGTACACTACATTACACTACACTACACTACACTCAACTACAACTACACAACTGCACAACTACGCAACTACACTCCACTACACTCCACTACACCCCACTACACTAAATTACACTACACTACACTACATTCCACTACACTACACTACATTCCACTACACCCCACTAAACTACACTACATTACACTACACTACATTCCACTACACTACACTGCACTACATTCCACTACACTACACTACACTACACTACACTACATTCCACTACACTACACTACGCTAGCTACCACTACAACAACAACTACAACTACAACTACAATACTACATTTACACTACGCTACACTACACTATACTAATTACACTACACTACAGTAGAGTCCACTACACTACACTACACTACGCTGAATGGCACTGCACCACAGATAGACAGATAGATAGATAGGTAGGTAAATAGATAGACAGATAGACAGGTAGACAGATAGACAGATAGATAGATAGACAGATAGACAGGTAGACAGCTAGACAGATAGACAGATGAAAAAAGAGAGAGAGATAGAGATAGATAGATAGATAGATAGCTAGCTAGATAGATAGATAGATAGATAGCTAGATAGCTAGATAGCTAGATAGCTAGATAGATAGATAGATAGCTAGATAGCTAGATAGCTAGATAGCTAGATAGCTAGATAGCTAGATAGCTAGATAGCTAGATAGCTAGATAGATAGATAGATAGACAGACAGAGAGAGATAGATGGATACATAGATAGATAGGTGGGTAGGTAGGTAGATAGTCAGAGAAAGAGACAGAAAGAGAGAGAAAGAGAAGAGACCTCAACCACCTGTCGGTCCATCAGTGGCTTCGCTCTGCCATCCGTGATCCACAACAACCAACCTCTCCTATAGGTTTCCTATTTTTGAAACTTCCGCCACCGCCTTGTGCGGTACTACTGGTAGATGATCTATCAAATAGATTTAAACAGTATATTATCTATTTAGTTGAATTTCCTTGATTAGTTTTTATTTTTGAATTTACCATATATATAAATATATCCCATGAAAAATGGTGAATCTTCCAACCATGGTTTCACCCTGGTATGACTGATTCCTATGCGCTGTGACCTTGCCTGGTTGTGGGTCTTTTTCATGTTGTTTTCTCCTTCTGCCTTGATGTTTGGTGAAGCAACTTGTTCCAACTTTTGGTTTCGTCAGGTCATGTGGTACAATCCTCTGTGATTGTATGCGTAGAATTGCATATGCCTGTGCAGGTTTTGGTTCAAGAGGATCAGGTTGCTTGTGTAGTGCAAAGGGATGGAGTCGACTCGGCTGACTACCGTAAAGGCTGTGTCGGCAGGAGCCTTGTTCATCGTGGCGTTGAGTGGCGCTGCTTTGTCAAAGTTTGTGGCGAATTTCTCTCCGAAGATCGTTCGAGTTTCCAATGCCCTGGCTGGTGGAATCCTCTTGGCTGTTACCTTGGTTCATATGCTCGCTGATGCCAGTGACCAGATGGAGGAACAGGGAGTTGCCATAGCAGTCTTCTTGAGTGGAGACAAGTCGGCCGAAGCGTTTCCATTGGGATATGTTCTGCTGGGTATTGGTTTCCTCACCATTCTCTCAGTGGAAGTCTTTTTGCCAGAAAAAGAATCTGAAGCTCATGTGATGGAGGACTCCGGTTCAGAGAATGAGTCAAATGCGGATGAGCAGCCTCGAGCCGTCCTACCAGAGAAGTCCCTCACAGCAGGTACGTCGGCTCTCGTAGGCCTATGTGTGCATTCCTTCATTGCGGGAACTGCCACTGGAGCTGCAGATGATATGTCCGAATTCTCTGAAGTGTTGATTGCAATCATTGCGCACAAACTGTTTGCCGCCTTCTCTGCTGGATCTTTGCTGCTGGACACGGTATCTGTGAGAGCCTGGTGGTCATTGTTGATTCTTCTTTCCTTGATGACTCCATTAGGCACAGGACTTGGTACTTTCCTCGCAGCCAGCTTTGAGGGAGCCGGTGCTGCGGCCTTGATTTGCTTTGCTGCGGGCAGTTTGTTGTGTGTTGCCGTGTATCATATGCTACTGCCTTCATTGATTCTTGGAAAGGGCAACTGGAAGAAGCACAGTTTCCTGGCATCTTTCTTTGGATTCTGTACCATGTCCCTCCTGGCTGTTTGGTCGTGAGATCATGTGAGATCATGTGAGATCATCGATCTGCCGGAGAAGGCGATGTAGAGGGGTGGTGTTGTCGCCATGTGGCACGATTGCATGACCGCTCCGCTCTCAAAGGGCGACAAAATGAGGAGACCGACTCCAAGGGAATCATGATTATTCATAATTCACTCTAGGTCGACATACATCAAAATACTCTGTGGATCAGAAAATTTCACCTTTCAACACTTCCAGCTTCAACACTGGATTGCTTTTGTCAGATGACACCGATATATTCCAATTGCTCATCATTCACTGGTTTTCAAACAGTCAGCGTGATTACATATGGGTATGGGTCAATACCTATGAAAATACCATTTGGTATGGGGGTTATTCACATCCATAAATCCCAGCTATTTTGATGTGAACTACAGGGGTACAAGGTTTTGACCCACTGCCATATGGTCATCTTTTGGGAAACACAACGAGGTGCTGGTCGCCACCGGCGCAGCGAGCGCCGCGACGGTCGCCACGGCCCTGGCCGAGCCGAGGCCAGCGTTTTTTTCCAGCCCAGCAAAATGGGTAGCCTCTGGAAATCAAACTATGGGAAAACCATGGGAAAATGGTGATTTATATGGAAAGATCCAGCATTTTTAATGGGTAAATCATTCTGTTTGATAATGGATGATAATGGATGGCTGAATAGGAAACTCATTCTGGTTGGTGGTGACTGGAACATGAATGGATGATTGTTCCATGAATATTAATATTGGGAATTTCATGATCCCAACTGACGAAGTCTATGATTTTTGAGAGGGGTAGGTTGAAACCACCAACCTGATTTGTTTATCCAATTTTTAAGATGTTCATGAGTTCATGATGTTGATTTCATCATTTTTTCAGCATCGAAGACATTGACAGGCTAGTTTAACTAGCGTAAATTGGAATTTTAAGCATCAGGAATGGGGATTTCAACCGTAGTTAATAATATATGATCCATCAACAGTGATGAATAATGGTTTTGTTTTAATGATTTTGAACCATAGTTAGGGACAGAAAAAAATCAGTTAGACTGTGATCCAACTGCTGGAGTCTTACAGTGTGGATTTTCACAGTCAAACATGGTGGTTTAACCATGGAAGCGGACATTGGTTTAACATGAGCTCAAAACGTTTTCAAGTATACCCTCTGGTAAACGTTTACATAACTATGGAAAATCACCATTTTCAATGGGAAAATCCACTACAAATGGTAATTTTCAATAGCTATGTTAGTTTACCAGACGGTATTTGTAGTGAAGAATATTCTGATCAGTTTCATAATCATTTAACATCAAGCGTGTCACATAAGGACATGTAAAGAATTGCACATCCATACCTTTTGATTTAGCGAATGTTCCCCGACATAGACTCAGACCTGACATGTGTTTTTTGGGTAACTCAAAATCCTTAGATATAGGTACTTGTACTTGAATGGATCCTTTATGCAGGGCACGAATCTATGTCAGACTGGTGCCTCCAAAGTGAATATGCACAAAGTGCTTGGTGAATTTAAATAGCCAACAAAATTCGATGGCTACAATGAGCAATCAGTCCGAAGTCGAAGTCTTGGGTGGTTGCTGGTTTCGTTTTGCCTAAATGACCGCATTTTTGAGGGAGATGGCTGACATCTTCTATATGATTTGTATATTGGCTATAAGGCTATATAAGGATTGTAAGGCAGGATTCCCAGTTTTGTAGAGTACCATGTACAGAAGTGTTCATGAACCAGCATCGAGGATGTCCCCCAGTTTTTGTCAGATTGTCAGAAAGTGTAAGCTGTAAGGTGCCCCAATATTAGATATTGATTACAGCTTGGATAGTAATTCCATCTTAGTTATCTAACCCAATTGCCAAGCTATTACAAGGGAGTGATTCAAAATTAGCTGTTCTGGAAGAAACATACCCTTGATAGGAAATATTGACCAAGTTTTTACTGCGGATGAATGATGAAAGACAACAATTTCACTGCCACGTCCCTGGAATAGTGATTCACAGGGGGTCACTATCCCAAACAAATCTAATCTAATCCGCATTTCAGGTTGGTTTATTCTATTTACTTGACTCAGAATTATGGTCCATTCATCATCAATCATGCATTTATCATCCACCATGTAGGTCCTAGACGGTTTATCCCTCCCACTATCTTACTGGTGCGTTTTACGTAGGGAATGGATGGGTTGCTGGGGGTTGCTGGGATGATTACTAGTGATTATGGATCATTCCCTCATTCCCTACAATGTGAGGCCCCCAAGATATAGGTTGGTTTATAAGCCCCAGTAACGATAGTTATAAATACCATAAACCATAGTTATTGGAGTTATAAACCAACTTAGCTATCTTGGGGGCCTCACATTGTACTAAGCACCAGTAAGCTATCCAGAGACCTCGCGCCCCGCGCAGTCCGTCCTGCCCGGCAAGCCTCCTACGGCCCCAGCGTTTGTGCGGCACTCAGCTCATGGCAGCACAACGGTAAACCAGCGAACACGGGTGTTGTAGCATATTGTATAGTGATATAAATGGGTATGCATTTACAGTACATACCATATGTATACATACATACAATATAAATACATATATATATATATACATATATATATACATATATATATATACATATATATACACATATATATATATATATAGCATTACAATTATATATTTAATCATATGTTATCATATGTACTGACATATATATATATATATGTATGTATGTATGTATAGATGTATATTGTAAGTCTATTTGGACGGTCGTGGTTTGAGTCATTTTTCATGCTCTCACACTCCATTCCTAAAATGATATGATGCTCCCAAATTTAAAATCACCGACCAGAGATGCTGTGGCATAATACCCACCCGAAGAAAGAAACAAGAATGTAGCCCGGTTGAAGAAGAACTAGTCTAATTTGATTCGAATTGCAGGGGACTGCTCAAAACCTAGGATTTTCCCAAATGAATGCTGGGATAAACATCCATTTACGCTACATCAATTTACCAGCGACTACAATTTGATAGATAGCCATATCATGTTTGGATGTCCTTTCTTCGGAAATGATGTACCTGTTGTATTGACCACGAACCCTTATATATAATATAGATATTCACCATTCTTAACCACTATCACTATTAAATTATATAGCCATTATTACAATATTATAGATATTCACCATTATTTACATAATGTGTATATATATATATATATATATTACCCTCTGGTAAACCAACATAACTATGGAAAACCACCATTTTTTTAATGGGTAAATCAACTATTTATATGGCCATTTTCAATAGCTTAGATTCACCATGATTAACCACCTGGAACGACTCGCGCGTCAAGGACCTGGTTGCTGGACGCTGAAAGCGCAGCATCCGTGTGACACGGTGTTGAGAACACCGAGAACCTCAAAGTTTTCTCGCTGAAATTGCAAGTTGTTCACAGTTTTGTGGCTGTTTAAAAGCTGTTAAAAGGACATTCACTATGTAAAGCCTCATTTACTTTATGGTAGATCTATGTACAGTGATATTTTAGTAGTTTTGAAAGCCATATTTCAATTTGCTGGTCATTTTTACAGCCCAGTGATGTTTGATTGGTATTGAACCACCACATATAATTGGAATTTCATATGAACTCGCTACGAAAAATGGCCCCAGCTAAGATTTTTTTGATAATGTCAAGGATCAGGTTCGGGAACATCCTCAGGCAAGAACATCGGAAGTTCGCCTCTGGTAATTTAATGTAAGAGTTTTCTATGTTTAAAATCACAATGTTTAATGGGTGAATGATCTACAAATGGCCATGTACATAGCTGTTAAATCAGATGGTATCAATCAATGATCAGGGTTTGACATTTGACGCGTGTGACATGATTGTTGGCAGTCCATTTTAATTGACATTTTCAGAACATGGACATGTATCATTTACTTCTGGTTTGTCACCAAGAGGGGCTTGTCTGGAAATGCTGGATTTAACCTCTAGTTTATGTCATTTTTTAAAATGATGATAAACCATAGGACGGATGGAATGGGGTAGCCTATTGTCAGACAAAGCCATATGCCTTTCAATGAGTTGTCAGTGCAATTCTGGACCACGCGAAGAACACTGTGCGAGCATTGGTTACGTGCCTGTATAGGTAAAGCATATCTTTTGAATAGATGGATCAGTCTGTCCATGAAAATCGCGCCAACGCGTGGGTGTGATCATCGGGATCTGTGCGGCAGTTGAAGTGGTTGGAATTGGACTTGAAACTGCAGGCACTGGTTGAACTGTCACATAGTGTAGTCTGAGATAAGAACAGGAAAGAAGGGAAGAACATGGAACAATCAGACTCCTTCCAACCACATGTACAGCATATAAATGTTTCGTGGTGACTGGAATGGCTTACGGTATTTTGGCCACGGGATCTCTTTTAATAGCAGAGCCCTTTGCAGAGCGAAGCCACAACTGGAATGGTTGTACCAAAAAGTTGGGATTCAACTATAAAACATGAAACTGGAGTCTTTATCATTTCAACATATTGCAGTGTGTCAAAACCATGTACCCCTGGTGAACATCAAAATAGCTGGTAAATGGATGTTCATCCCCCTAAAAATGGTATGTATAGGTATTGATCCATAGCCATATTGCAAATCCAAGACAATATGGGGAAAACCAACCGGTGAGCTAAAAAAAATCATCAGTTCATTTTTTTGTCATGGATGGGGATACACTCTATGCAGACTCTATGCAGCTAAACCCAAAGTGTTAGCATGGTAATTATCTAAATTTGCCCATTTTTTCCAGATTGGATGGTAGATGGGCAGGTGCAAAAAGTAGCTATCCTTGTCTTGACATTCTTTTCACGACGGGCATTTGATGTCATCAAGTCCATTCTCGGAATCCTATCAAATATTGTAAGCAGATTCAAAGAGAATCTCCGGGACTAAGTCCGACCAGAAACACTTGGTCGCTGTCACCGCCGCTCAGGGTTCTAGCTGCAGGCTTCCATGACCAGTGGGCCGCCCCAAAGCCAGGCGCCATGGCAGTGCTTTGGTGGCTGCTAGCCACCCTGGCCACTTCGAGTATAGGCTTGGTCGGCTTGGTACAACCTGTTACTTGGGGGTGCAGTTGAGGTTACAAATGAAAAAAAACATGGTTAGTTATAACCTCCGCAAGTTGGGATATGGAGCACCCACTGGCCCATAACTATGATGTGACATCTATTGAAATCTATCCACTTATTGCACTTCCAATTGAGATGGCTTTGCAAATTGGGGCGGTAAAGCCAAAACCCAATAATGAGCTATCCCAGTGACCAACGGTTTGGAGGCCCAAAGAACAGGGGTATACACAATTTCATACGCCCCACGCGTGGATGGTTTATGGCATTAGCTTTACCATGGTTTCAGATCCTTGAAACAGCTCCTAATGTTCCCTCGGATGGAACCAGGTTGTCGTTTCAAGTCTTCACATACTGGTACATGAGTGACGGCGTTCATTTGGTTAAATGGAGAGTAGTATTGGGGTGTCCTCCGGTTTGTCGAAATATGTAGACTGTGTGATTGAACGATGTAGGTATACATACAGAGATAGTAGAATGATGACGATGTAGACTGTGTGATTGGGAGATATGTACGATTATATGTATTCATTTTACATGGTGTATATGAATGGAATTATGTTGGGATAGTTTGTTCAATTCCCCCCTATAATTTTGCAGTTTTGCAGTTGAACACGAACGTTATTAGGGGGCTTGTGAAACAACGACAACTTCTGCGAAATGTGCACGACTTCCATGAAACGTGAGCAACATCTCTGAAACGTGCACGACATCTCTAAAACACTTCAAATGAGGCTTATCCAGACTATACCCATGTATGTAGATCTACAATTGTAATTACATATACAGATCCCCGATCGAATTTCCCTTACAGAATGGAAGGTGTCGACCCTCTTACAAATGGTTTATATAGGGTCATTTTGTAGATACAAAAAGACCCCTAACCAGGCCTTTTTGTAACAGGGCACCCAAAAGGCAAAGTTGTGGATTTTCAAGTGTTCATTTTGTAAGAGTTTTGAGGTGCCAAGTCATTTTATAAGACCATCGAGTTTGTATTTTTGAGGCTTTTTGTAAGCTCAAGATGCTGTTTTTGAACATCAAAAAAAACAAAAAATAATTCAGCAGGGTGCGCAATGACATTTTGTAAGGAGATGTCGTCAAGACTAGAAGAGCCTTTTTGTAAGAATACATGCTTTTTAGGCATTGATACAAAGTATTGTTCAGATTTGTACATGTTTTTGATTCGCCTCAATCATTTGATAGCTGTTTTGGCTATTTCCGAAAAGGCCCCAGCCCACAGCCCTGACACATCCCAATGGCGTGGCTTCTTGCGGTTCTTTTGGTGAGTTGGCTTTCTGGTGTTGGGAGTGCACCAGATTTGCCATCACTCGGCGTTGATGATTCTATATAAATCTATATGAAATCTATATGAATCTATATGAGTCTATATATGTCTATATGATATTTTGACTCATTTTTTCACGTTATAACATTCCTGATCATCATTATCTTTGAAACTAGAAGTGTTAATGGGTAGCCTCTTACAAAATGGCAGGGGGCCAGGTGTGTCTTACAAAAAGGGTGGGTTGATCATCCTCAATACATATGCATACAGGTGCATATGCAAATCAGTAGCTATCCCTGAAGATCCATCCAGGTAACCAGAGCTACACAAACCTCATTTAGACTCCATATAGGTACTATATAGGTTAGGTTCACTACAAAATGCCAAGGTGTTGCTACCCTACAGGGGGAGGAGTGTTTATTTTAGGAAGCTTCCTGGGGCTACCAGCACCTTGTCATTTTGTAAGGCACAGTTCAAGTTTTAGGGCAGCCATGGCAGCAATTTTTAGATTTGGTGGAGGCACCAACTTTCTTCTTGGTGTTGTGTTGGCCGAGGATGGCAAAAGATCTTTTGCAAGTTGTAAGTATGACGACGTTCATGGTTATCTTATGTGTTTTTTTTGTACATGCTCTTTCGTGTTCAATTTATTTTTTTATTTTTGGTACTCATGTGATAATACAAACGCGAGACATCATAAAAGGATTTCTGGTAGGCAATGAGGCCAAAGAAGCAAAAGTACAAAAAATATAAAGCAAACCAAAAAGTGGCAAAAAATGGAATCCTTACAAAAAGGCTGCTTGAAAATCAACGAGTCCGGAAAAACTAGAAACAGGGAACCAGAAGTTGTGTCCTTACAAAATGATGCCTGAAAACGCCATCTAAAATCACAACTTCTTATAAAAGGGTCATCGGCAAATGTACGACTTCCATATTTGGAAGAAAGTCGTCACCTTATAAAATGAGGTGGGTGTTTGAAGTCGAATGAGGGTGCTAAAACCCTATGCTTTTTGTAAGGGCCAAAACTCGTAAAAACCGACCCTTTTTGTAGGGTTTTTCAAAGACCCAGGGATTTATACTACAAAAAGCCTGGTGCGACACCTCCCCCCTAATTCGAAGGAGGATATATACAGATTGTAATAATGATAATATATCAGATGTATATGTACAGAGATATACAGCATGCATCGATATGAAATATGACATGCTATCCCAAGACGGCAACAAGTCGCTTCGATTGCAAAAATTGGATGGTTTTAACCATAAAATTCCATCAAAATACCGGCAGAAATGGGGATAGGTTGGAATATTAACCAGAATGCTATGGGATAACTCTAAAAACTCTTGCAAACCTGAAGATACTATCCTACCTGGACTAACACAAACTGACAAACCATGCCATGAGCTGGGGTTTGACTTCAAAAAGCGGCAATGTTCAGGGTTTACCTCTCGGATAAGGTGAAAGAAAAAGAAGGTAATATATATGTATAATGAATAACCTCACTAGTTATGTACTATATATTTGTATATCCACAATTATCCACATAAAAACCCCATATCCCAAGATTCAAGTGGTAATTCCTCAAATCCCAAGCACCCCACCGTCCCCAGGCATGGAAGTGGCAGTGGATTTCAGAGGCGACGAGTCGTCCAGGACAGCTTTGATACGTCCGGGCAGCCCAGCGGAACGGCTGCACCAGAAGTTAGATATGAAAAATGGGGATTTCATACGATATATAGGATTGAAATCGATTGAACCTATCATAAATGGGGGACTTTTTTGAATGATTTACTGTACATAAAAATATGAACAACTATCATAAAAACATATAAAAACTTATGGGACTATTCATAAATATATAAATCTTGTAAGAACTGTAGTTCAGGATTTCGAGAATCATCCGATGTGTTTACCATGAGGATTTTGAGAATCGGAAAGATTCGAAGCCCTGATCATCAAGGGGATTGAAATAACGATGGGAGATATTTAAGAATGATGTCACCACGTAGAAAAGAACGTCACCATGATATCAAGGGGTTAGGATTGGTGATATATATATATAATATATATATATATATATACCCAAGAA